ACAGGCCATTACTAAACACTTTGGATTTGTGTAACATTCTCTTTTTTGTCGTCTCCCAGAAGTGATGAATTTCCTTAACATTCCTCTGTTTCATCCAAAAGAAATCAAGTCCTTTAATTTATGCTTCTGTCATGTTTTCAAATAGGACTGGTAGGTTCAGTTTTCTGTGTCTACTACTTTAAATTAAATGTTTTAAAATATAACTTCATGTTTCCCTCATTGTAGAGGCTGAGGAGAAAGGGTGCTTTCAGTTTCAGGATCGGATGAAGGATTTAGAGAGGAAGACTTCTGAAGATAGTATGTGAAGAAAATATATATTCACCAGGACTGTGATTAAATCGACTTAAATTCAGATTTTTATCTATATTTTCCCAACAATAGCTGCGTTATATTGTGCTTATTACAATAAGACATTTTATGATTTTAGGTCTCAGACTCACAGACTCTTTCACACACCTAAATTACAAATGTGGTGTGTGTGTGTGTGTGTGTGTGTGTGGTGTGTGTGTGTGTGTGTGTGTGTGTGTGTGTGTGTGTGTGTGCCTGTGTGTGTGTGTGTGTGGCATGGGTTTGTGAACTTTTTACCAACATTGTTAATTTACTGTAGGACATGAGACAAAGTGAATATGTTGGCTGTTTAATACACGTTAGTCTCTGATTTCATTATAAACAGATATTCAAGACTTGACTGAAAATCCAGTAGCTTTTTTGTGAAAACAGTTGTTATTGTTTTTGTTTATTATAACTCCAGTGAAATAAAAAGAAAAAAAGCCTTTTGTCCTGCTGTGTCTCTGTTTCACTGAAATGTCCACGGGTCGTTTTCAGTTAATTAAACCTTGTGCATCCTCAGGGACATTTTTGTCTGTTTCATTTTTTATTTTTTGACTTTTTGGCTGTTATATGCAAATGGCATACATTTTTGCCAAGTTTGTGTATTTTTTGGGGGAAATTTTTTGGAATTTCAACCTCAGCTCCTGAACTGTCTATAATAAACTATGTACAACAAAATAGTTAACACTCAGGACCTTAAAGAACAAAATGAAACCCATTAAAAATGCACATTTTTGATCCCTCCCTAACAATGTACAAATCACAAAATCTGACATTCCACAAAAAAAAAATAATGGCATCAATGTTTCTATCACTGACATATCCCAGACTGTGATAAACAAACAAAAATCCACTTAGCATTTAATATGTGTAAATTAATTCACTTTGTGTTTTTAAACATAAAAACAACAGCGGCATTATGTAAACTAAACTGGCATTTAAGGGTTAAAATCCTGAAAATGATTGACTATTTTATGAGCAGGACTGGGTGTTGAATAAAAAAATAAAAATAATATTAATGTATAGTATATATATTATGTTGATTTTATATTATGATTGTAATTTGATTACATTGTAATTACCTATGGAAGCGTATTCAGCTAATCCAGTTTTTCATAACTTATCTCGTACTTGTGACTTTGCCTCCCGTGATTAGATGATATAAACTTAGTCATCATTACAACAAGTCTCTCTTCACTCTCCCCTGGTGATGCCCTGTGTGTTAATGCGTGGAATTGGTGTGAAAACCGAGAAGATGGCGACAGGGCAACAAGTTGGATTTACACGCTGCTGAAACCTCAGAAGAAAAGAATCGTTTCTTATCGGGTGAAAATCGCATTGCTCCGGAGCTTTCAGACACTGTCCATAAGCTTCCTCTGCCTCTCAGCAACATGTCGTCCACCGACAGTAGAGACCTGGCCGGGCGCTGTGCATCATCACCGGGGCCTCCAGAGGCTTCGGCCGGGCTGCAGCGAAGGGAGATGTCCCGGCTGGTGAAGCCGCGGTCAGTGCTCGTCCTAGTGGCCCGCACCGGAGACGACCTGCGCTTCTGCAGGCGGAGCTGGCCGAGTCTGAGGAGGGTCGAGCGGGCCTGGTGGGCTGAGTGTGTGGTGGCAGACCTGGGGCAGACTGAGGGAGTGGAGAGCGTCGTCAGAGCCTCTAAAGTGTTTCTGTGAGGACATATATATCACATCAATACTGGTCAACAACGCTTGGTAAGAAGAAACCTGAGCTCAGGCTGCACCGGAGTCGGTGAGAACAGTCTGGTTTTTCATTACTGAGCAGCAGCTCATCAGTGATTTCAGTCGATTTAATGCTACATTTGGCTGAAATTTAAAAAAAATCCTATTTACTTATCTACAGTGATGCAGATATGAAGTATTGTCTGTGAATGTTCTCATTCGTCCAGGTCATTAGGGAGTAGCACTAGTCTGACCTAGACTAGTGCGGACTAGAGAGACCAAAATATGATGAACTGATAAGCCGCTTGGATAAGAGGGAAACGTCTTCCACAGACAAATACAAGTCCAGTTGCCTTCGATTTAATTTGAGAGAGAGATATGAAGTACTGTACTCTACTGGAGTATTTCTGCGCCTTGACACTTTATACATCTAGTGTTTGTGCTTATTACTCTACAATTAACTGTGTGTGTGTGTGTGTGTGTGTGTGTGTGTGTGTGTGTGTGTGTGTGTGTGTTGGGATGGTATGCAGTGAAACACGGTCCTGAGAACAGGATGCCCTGAGGGCTGTTTGTCTGTAACTGACCCTTTAAAGCTTTTCACCTGGCTTATTTGCACAGTTGCCTGATTCCATGCATCTATCATGGTTTAGTGTGAAGAGACCCAAAGCAGGACATGAGTGAAGCTCTACTTTAATTTATAAATCTTAATTATAAAATGTTGCCATCTTGAAGGACAATTACACAACAGTAGTTGATGGAAACACTACACACCAGTGGACCCTTCGCCTCCCTCCTTCCCTCACCTCCCAGCCTCACCTGGGTGAATGGTGTATCTGTTACGGCAAAAGCCTTCAACCAACATGGCTGAGGTGAACTCCTACCTGTCTCTCAACGTCAGCTCCTGCCTGTGCCTCACCGCCAGCATCCTGGCGGTTTCCGCAGGCGTCCAGAGTCTCGATCTGCGCGCACTGTGATCAACGTCTCCTCCTGTGTGCCCTGAAGCCTTTCCGCTCCTGGGGGCTGTACTGCACCGGCAAGGCCGCCGAGGACATGATTTTCAAGGTGCTGGCAGAGGAGGGAGCCGGACCTGCGGGTGCTCAGCTACTCCCCAGGAAGTTTTTAATAAAGGGGTAGTGATACCTGGAATAGGTGTAAGTGATACTGGATCAGACCAAACTAGTACTCGCCAGATTTTACAACTAGCATTTTTTCTTGTTTCTGCCTTTAAAGATTGCCTCCATTTAAAAAAATAAATTAAAAAAATTGTAAAGGTGGGAGACCTGAAGAGCCATTTATGAATTGACCTTAACTGTGCAATAATAAAAGGGTCATAAAAATATTTAATAACTTAACAAATTTAGTCCAAATTAAAAAATAAAATTTTAAAAAGGATCAAATGGAGATAAGCAATAAAAAAACAATTCAGTAATTATATTTCAATTAGAAAAATTCGATTTTTTTTAAATAGATTAAAGCTAAACATAGACCAAAATTAAACGAATTAATCTCTTGGTTTTCAATTTGTGAATATAAAAAAAATGTATAATATAAAAACTGTCCTGTTTACTCTTTCAAACTGAAACAACAGCCAATCACAGAGCTCTGTTTCTGTTTACCTTGATTGATTAAGAGTTTGTGACAAATGATGAAATCATTTTAATGCTGTTGTGAAACAGAAAAGCGACCTTTGGAAAAACACCCTTTCAGATAAAAAACTACTTAGATTTAATTAGAAATGACATAATGAAATTAACATTTCATAATAAGAAAAGCTAAGTTTTAAAACCTTATTGGATTATACATTTTTACCTGTATTTATTCATATTTATTGTTTAATGTCTGATTGATTACATTATTTGAAGGCTTTTTCCATATGTAAAGAGTAATACGAGTTCATTTTGGACAAAGTTGAACGTTGTTTCTCTGTCCCTTGTGGCTGACTCAGGACCTCTGGACACTGACATGCTCATGGAGGCCAGAACCAGAACCGCTGATCCCACTCTCAGGAAGTCTTTTACAGACATGTTCGCTCAGGGCAAGGTGCTCCACTGGTGAGGAATCCTCTGCAAAATGATGAAGCTGCTGCTGGATGACAACTCTACAACCTCAGAGACACGTCGACATCTACGACGTGTAGACACAACAGCGCCTGCAGCCATCCAGCACCGGGACCCACATCACTTATGTGCTTGATTTTAAATGTATGTCTTCAACCTTTAGCTCTCTGTCGGTGAAGGATCAAACCACAAGTTTCAATCAAAATTTATAGGTAAAAAACATTCCAGAACCGACTGTCAGTAACATCGGTGTCTGCAGTGATGGAGAAAATAGATCTAAACGTAGTAGAGCTACGGGATGTAAAGACACATCTGTAGACAGATGAGACAGATCTTCAGTAAACGTGTGTTTGCTTTTCAGCTGATTCATTCTGAGGTCAGATCCATAGTGGTGGTGGGTGGTGGTGGTGCTGGTGGTGGGTGGGTAGTGCCTGGTGTCTTTCACTCTGTCTGTCTTTCTAAAACACTTTCTATGAAGGAGGATCATGTCATATCAACTGTGGACGTCTTCACTTCGGTCAGGAGCAACAGTGCATCAGATCAAATGGTTTTTGGAGACAGGTCTCACCAAATTTACAAACATGAGCATTCATTCGTTCATATAAGAAACACACCATCTTAGTTTAGGTTGTTCTTAAATTAAACACTAATCCCTGGTTTATATGCAGGAGGAGGAAAACAGCCATTATTTATTAACTTTTGACATTTTCGCCATAAGATTAATGAAAGAAGACAAACAACACAGACATTTCCACTGGGACCACATTGTTAAAGGGTCCAGCAGAAACCAGAACTGTGAAAAGCTGTAACGAAAGTTTACACAAGGTAAGTTTTGAGAGACAAAACAAAACTACAACCGTTTACCATAAGGCCAGAGTAAAGAGTACTGGAAGATTGTTCTCAGGGTAAAAGCCCTTATACTTTATAGTACTGGTTACTTTGACGGATAGGACAGTAAATGACTACCCATAGATTGTGAAATTGCTCGCGTGGGTGCTGCTGAGAGTAAGGATACAGTCATCGCCACGCTACTTATTGTTGCTGGTTGCGATCAGATGTCGGTAGCAGGAGGAGAGTGGTGGTTGTGCATGTGTGTGTGTGAGAGGAGAGATGTGTTAGTTGGAGCTTGTGAGTGGGAGTAGACCAGGGGAGGGGGGAGATGTAAGTAGGGAGATGGCAGAGTGTAGGAGGTCGAGAGGAGCGAAGAGTGGTGTATGTTGCGGAGTACATATGAGAGCGGAGGCGCGGACAGGAGGGAGATGCAACTCAGGCGCGGTATCCCGACATGCGTGTGGCAAGAGAGTAGGAGGCAGGAGTGATGAGGTGAATTGGAGGGTGAGAGAGAGGAGAGGCGCGTGAAGGGGAAGTGCGGGCGGTAGTCGTGGGCCGGCAGAGTGGGGGTTTGAGAGACAGGAGGCTATGAATGAGATGTCGTGGTATGCACCGGTGTTAGCTGGAAGGGCGGGGAGAGGGGGAGGGGGGAGGAGGGAGGGCGAAAAGGGATCGGGGGATAGGGGAGGGGGAAATTGTGAGGTGGGAGGCGGGAGGGAGCGGGAGATTGGGATATATGGCGATAGGGGTGTGTGTTGGGCAGGGTGCGCGGAGGAGAGGAGGGTGGGGAGGGGGGCGTGGGAGCGCATATGGGGTGTTAGCGCGCTGGCGCTAGGTTTTTGTGTAGGTGTTGGTTCTCCTGATGGGAGGAGAGGAGCGGGAAGTGGTGCGTATCTCAACCGAGAGGAGTTGGGAGGGCATAGCTGGAGGTGTTGCATTTGTGGTGGAGTGGAGCAGTGGCGTGTGGTGAGGGATATAGGGCTGGAGTGAGGAGGTGGGAAGGATGGAGGTAAGTGGGGTGGGTTGGGTTAGCCAGTGGTGGTGAGTGGTGTGGAGGGTGGTTAGCGGTGTGGTGGGTGCGTGGGGGGTAGTGCGTGGTCGTGGGGGTGGGGATGGGTGCGTAGGTATGGTGGGGCGGGGGTGTGTGAGTAGTGGTAGGATGGTGAGAGGGGAGGGTGGAGGAGGTCGGCGTGAGAGGTGAGGTGTGGGGATGAGGTGGTGATTGTGTGGAGAGGAAGGAGCAGAAGGAAGCGCGCGAGGAGCGTGCGAGGGTGTGAGAGGCGCGGTGATGAGATGCGGGTGGTGGCAGGTGGAGCCTGGTGAGAGGCTGTGATGTGGAAGTCAGGGGGGATGGGCGGGGGTGGCATATGGAGGAGGTGTGGGGTTGAAGGTGTGAGGGGAGAAGGGGTGAGAGAGAGGTTATTACGGGAGGTGGGTGTAAGGGTAGATGGAGGTGTGGAGGGGCGGTGGGAGAAGGAGGAGGTGTGAGGGGGGTGGGAGTAGGCGTGTGAGGGAAAGGGAGAAGCGAGTGTGGTGGTGGGCAGGGAGCGTAGGGAGAGGGGTGTGGAGTGGGGGAGGGGGAGGGGCGAGGGTGGAGGGGGGGGTGTGGAAGGGTGTAACGGGGAGGCGGTAGGGTAGGGTGGATATGGTGGGTGGGGGGGAGGTAGGGGCCGGGGTGGGTGAGGGTCGGTGGGGGAGTGCGGGACGCGAGTGGGGAGGGAGGAGAGGAGAGGGGGGGGGGGGGGAGGTGGAGGGACGCGAGGGCACCGCGAGAGGAGCAGAGCTGAGGGTGAAGGCCGCAGGCCGAGGCTGCTTTGCAGCCGGTGAAGCATTCAACTGATAAGTTACTAACATAGGGGCACTGGGCGAGGTGGTGCGCGAAGGATGGTTGGTGTGATGGGAGAGGCGGGTGGCGCGGAAGCGAGAAGACCGTGGGAATGGGTGAGAGGTGGGGCTAGGGGAGTGGGCGCCGAACCAGGGTCCGCGTGGCGAGGTGGGAGAGGTGCGCCTGGTGCGCGCGAGGGAAGAGACGTGCTTAGAGGCGTCGGTAGGGGGTTGTGTGTGATGTAGGAAGGATGAGGTTTGGTGTGAGACGGAGGTGGGGTGTCTGAGATGTGGCGCAGGGAGGGGGGCGGTGGTGAGAGTCAGTGTGTGATGGGAGGGTGGGTAGTGGTGTGGGGTGGTTGGGACTGGGTGTGGAGATTGAGTGGAGGAGGAGGGGGCGAGGGATGTGGTGGGTCGGAGGGTTGAGGTTGGTAGCTTGAGCGCTAGGCGTGGGTGAAGAGGTGGGGGGAGCAGGGGGGAGGAAGGTGGGGGTGGGGAGGAAACAGGCCCGTGGAGGCAGTCGCAGAGGGGTGGTCGCAGTGGGGGAGAGGGCGAGGTGCAAGAGGGTGCAAAGGACAGGCGATGGCGTCTGTCTTAGAGGGGAGGAGATTACAGGGCGAGGGTTGAGACTGCGGAGGTGTACTGGAGAGAGCGGGGCGATTGAGGGACGTCGCGGGCAGGTGGGCGTCGAGACAGATTTTCGTCTGTCGAGTGTTAGAGCAGGCCGTGGAGTGGCAGTGGATGAAGAGCTGGTAGTGGTTTGTGGAGGCGCTGGGGCGATGTGTAATTGTGGAGTGTTGATATGTGGTAGGAGGGGGCTGTGGTAGGGGACTGTGCCGGGTAACGCTGATTTGTTAGCGCCAGAGAAGGTGAGGGACGCGCGCAGGTGAGAGGAAGGTACTGGAGTGTGGGGAGGGGGGGGGGGAGGAGGCAAGGGGTGTGGAAGGTGGGTGGTGTAGGTGGATGAGAAGGGGGTAGGGGGGGTTAGTGAGGGAGAAAACGCGAAAGGAGCGCAAAGGTGGTTCAAGGGTAGCAGGGGGGCGCGGTAAGTGGCTGGTGGAGACGCGTGGGGTGGAGTGGGGTGGAGGCGCAGCAAAGTGAGCTCCATAGTCTGGACAGAGCTGTTAGATATCAGACACTGTCTGAGAGACAAAGAATGCAGTCAGGCGACTTTATGATGACGTCTTACTACGAAGCAGCTTTCATTAAGACACGCGTGAGCGTATCATAATATCATCACTATACTAGCAAATGCGCTCGGAGATTATTATTACGTCCTCTATAAATTTTAGCCTTCTGATGCTGTGTTTTATTTGAAGTGTTTGATCCAGAAGAAATTTATATTTGTGTTTTTTCAAAAACACATCCAAGCGAAGGCTTGTTTAAGGTACAGGTTTACTGAGAATAGCCAGGCCTCTTTCACATCTCTACTCTGTACGTGCTGAGGTTCTCGAGAGTTGAGTGTATTTAATTTATAATAATATCTAGATATCATGAAGTTATGGGATCATAACTTAACAATATATACCTACAACTATGGGACCTTTAACATCACTTCCTATAGGGAAGAGGTGTGTAGGTAATAACTGAACTCTCTCGCCCCTTCGTGGCAAAAAGCAACCATGCTGGCTTTAAGGTTCTCCTGGCTGGATGAAACCACAAGCCACTGTGGAAATATAAAAAAACCAGAGCAGAGATGCTGAATGTGTCTTGAGCAGCCTCAGGGAGGGGGAGGGGGGGGGGGGGGGGGGGGGGGGGGGGGGGGGGGGGGGGGGGGGGGGGGGGGGGGGGGGGGGGGGGGGGGGGGGGGGGGGGGGGGTGGGGGGGGGGGGGGGGGGCTGTTTTCCTGTCAATGTGGCTCTGACAGACAAAGTCACAGCTTGATGGACCAAAATATCGCAGGAGGAACAACCCCACAGGGGAGGCAGCAGAGGTAGAGGTGGTCTGTGGTGTCGTCCCCTTGTTTGGGTTGGTTCCTCCTGCGATATTTTGGTCCATCACAGCTTGGACTGTCTGTCAGAGCCACATGACAGGAAACAGAGCTGCTCAGACACATTAGAGCATCTCTGCTCTTGGTTTTTTTATTTTTCCACAGTGGCTGTGGTTTCAGTCCAGCCAGGAGAAACCTTAAAGCAGCATCGGTTTTGCTTTTTGGCCACAAGGGGCGAGAGAAAGTAAATACAACGCTGACATTTATCATTTAAAAGGTCCCATATTGTGTAAAGGCAGATGTCCATGTGTTTGTTTGATTATAGATCAAGGTCTAGGTTTCTATATTAATACTGTGAAAGTATCAAAGCCTCAGTCCACAGAGAAATGCACACAGCCTGTAATTCAGAAACTGAGCCTTAAAACCAGCCGTTGATGGTTTTTGAAAAACCACAAATATAAATTCTTCTGGATCAACACTTCAAATAAAACACAGGAGAAAGGAAAATTTTATGGAGCTTTAACATTACACATACTCATCGACCCATTGCTCAGATAAAGATATTTGATTAGTGCGCTTTAATGAAAGCTGCTTCTGTAGTAAGAGTCATTCATAAGTCGCTGACTCATTCTTGGTCCAGATGTGACTTAACAGCTGGTGCAGATTGAGGTCATTTGCTGTTGACATTAACGGGTTCACAGAGCAGTGTATTAGAATATTTGTCTTTTGTTTCTCCATCACTAACCTTAATTTGATAAAACACTGTTAATTTTGCTTCTATAGTTTATTTTTATTGTTTTATTTTTGGTAAAATATCAGCGTAGTGTAAAATTATACACACTTTTAAATATAAAAAATACAGATGCAAAAGAAACATATATTCACACTGCCAGTGTTTAACTAACGTGAGTATTTGATGAAAATGTGGGCCACTGAGTTTATTTTTTATACACCTCAGTTTAACCTGCTGTTAATTCTGTAAAGAAAGAGCAGCTGTTTGACTTGATGTCTATGGACACCTGCTGAGGTGTCCAGGTGTTTACTATTATTTTGTCCCATTTATAGTAGGTAAGCTAAATAACATGAACACCTGTAAATGTCACACAGCTCCACACAATACATCCCTCCACAATGATCTCACAGTTGAATCACAACAACTGTCTAAAAACTTATTTTAATACAAACTGAACATTATAACCTTCATGAAAGGAGGATTTACTGCAGACTGTTGCATTTAGACTACATCGGTTTAGCTGCATGTTCCTAATAAACTGGCAATGAGTGTATGTTATAATTTATCAGTTGAATGCTCAGGCTGCAAAGAGCCTGACTGGGGTTAATTAGTTGCTTTTGGTGCTGGTCTCACCCTGTGAACGATGTATATGCACTGAAATACTAATGTATATACACCTACATATACACCTGGTAGTCTGAAGATGTTTTTAAATCTAATAGTTTTATTGTATATTATCATTATCACCATATAACTTGTTCTACCCCTTTCTCATTTCAAAACTGTAATGCAGTAATAAGTTTACAGCAGAGAACATTTTACCTGATCCAGTTTTTTAAAATGATTTTATTTAGGATTTTTTACATTAGAAAAACACACACAGTAGAAACAATAGACATAAAACACCAAGTACAATTACACAAAACAGCATAAAAGACAAGGGATTCATATCCAGAGATCCCAACAGCAAAGTATCAACAAATGTCAAAGAGGTGAGATACGAGACTGTCCCGTCCATCAGGAGAATCAAAAAAACATAGCAGGGTCAAAAATGGCTTCCACGCCTTCTGAAAAACATTATGTAAATTCTGTTTGATATAATGAATCTGTTCCATCTCAGCAACAGAAAACATCTCATTCAGCCTCCTGTTTAAACATGGGGACGACAGAGACTTCCAGTTTATTAATATTAATTATTAGCTGTAGCTCTGGCTGCTGTAAGAGCTGGTCTCATGGGAGGGAGCGGCCCCGTCCTGTCAGAACAAACTAATATTATATTATTATATAATCTTAGTCCGTTGTTTATTTAAAAAGCCAATTAAATATGTAAAAACAGAAATGACCTGGTCCTGGACAGAGCCAGAATAAGTGTGGCAGTGATCCTTCAGCAGGATCTGAGGACAATTTTAACAAGTAGTTTTACTTCTACCGGAGTAACAGTACTATAAAGTATAAGGGCTTTTACCTGAGAACAATCTTCCAGTACTCTTTACCTCTGGCCTTATGGTAAACGGTGTAGTTTTGTTTTGTCTCTCAAAACTTACCTGTGTAACTTTCGTTACAGCTTTTCACAGTTCTGGTTTCTGCTGGACCCTTTAACAATGTGGTCCCGGTGGAAATGTCTGTGTGTGTGTCTTCTGTCATTATCTTAGGCGAAATGTCAAAAGTAATAAATAATGGCTGTTTCCTCCTCCTGCTAATAACCAGGGATTAGTGTTTAATTTAAGAACAATCCTAAACTAAGATGGGTTTTCTTATTTATGAACGAATGAATGTCATGTTGTAAATTTGGTGGACATGTCTCAAAACCATTGTGATCCTGACTGATGTCCTGGACCCGAAGTGAAGCAGCAGTTCATCCACAAATGACATCCTCCTTCATAGAAAGTGTTTAGAAGACAGCAGAAAGTGAAGACACCAGCACTACCACCACCACCAGCACCACCACCACCACCACCACCACATGGATCTGACCTCAGAATGAATCAGCTGAAAGCAACACACGTTTACTGAGATCTGTCTCATCTGTCTACAGATGTGTCTTCACATCCCGTAGCTTCTACTACGTTTAGATCTATTTTCTCCATCACTGCAGACACCGATGTTACTGACAGTCGGTCTGGAATGTTTTTACTATAAATTTGATGAACTTTGGTTTGATCCTTCACCGACAGAGAGCTAAAGGTTGAAGACATACATTTAAAATCAAGGCACATAAAGTGATGTGGTCCCGGTGCTGGATGGCTGCAGGCGCTGTTGTGTCTACACGTCGTAGATGTCGACGTGGTCTCCTGAGGTGTAGTTGTCATCCAGCAGCAGCTTCATCATTTTGGCACAGGATTCCTCACAGGTGAGCACCTGGCCCTGAGCGAACATGTCTGTAAAAGACTTCCTGAGAGTGGGATCAGCGGTTCTGGTTCTGGCCTCCATGAGCATGTCAGTGTCCAGAGGTCCTGAGTCAGCACAGAGGACAGAGAACAACGTTCAACTTTGTCCAAATGAACTCGTTACTTTTACATATGGAAACCAAAAGTGGTCAAAATGTAATCAATCAGACATTAAACAATAAATATGAATAAATACAGGTAAAATGTATAATCCAATAAGGTTTTAAAACTTAGCTTCTTATTATGAAATGTTATTTCATTATGTCATTTCTAATTAATTCTAGTAGTTTTTATCTGAAAGGGTGTTTTTCCAAAGTCGCTTTCTGTTTCACAACAGCATTAATAATGATTTCATCATTTGTCACAAACTCTTAATCAATCAAGGTAAACAGAACAGAGCTCTGTGATTGGCTGTTGTTTCAGTTTGAAAGAGTAAACAGGAAGTTTTTATATTATACATTTTTGTTTATATTTCACAAATGAAAACCAAGAGATTAATTCGTTTTAATTTTGGTCTATGTTTAGCTTTAATCTATTTAAAAAAAATCGAATTTTCTAATTGAATATTAATTACTGAATTGTTTTTTTTATTGCTTATCTCCATTTGATCCTTTTTAAAATTTTATTTTTTAATTTGGACTAAATTTGTTAAGTTATTAAATATTTTATGACCCGTTTATTATTGCACAGTTAAGTCAATTCATAATGGCTCTTCAGGTCTCCCACCCTTTACAATTTTTTTTAATTTATTTTTTTAAATGGAGGCAACTTTAAAGGGCAGAAACAAGAAAAAATGCTAGTTGTAAAATCTGGCAGTACTAGTTTGGTCTGATCCAGTATCACTACACCTGATCCAGTATCACTACCCCTTTAGTAAAGAACTTACCTGGGGAGTAGCTGAGCACCCGCAGGTCCGGCTCCTCCTCTGCCAGCACCTTGAACATCATGTCTCGGGCGGCCTTGCCGGTGCAGTACAGCCCCCAGGAGCGGAAAGGCTTCAGGGCACACAGCGAGGAGACGTTGATCACAGTGCGTCGCAGACCTGGACGCTGCGGAAACGCCTGCAGGATGCTGGCGGTGAGGCACAGGCAGGAGCTGACGTTGAGAGACAGGTAGGAGTTCACCTCAGCCATGTTGGTGAAGCTTTTGGCGTAACGAGACACATCACCCAGGGAGGCTGGGAGGGAGGGAAGGAGGGAGGGAGGGGTCACTGGTGTGTAGTGTTTCCATCAACTACTGTTGTGTAATTGTCCTCAAGAGGCAACATTTTATAATTAAGATTTTATAATTAAAGTAGAGCTTCACTCATGTCCTGCTTTGGGCCCTGCTCACAGTTAAACCATGATGATGAATCAGGCAACTGTGCAAATAAGCAGGTGAAAAGCTTTAAAGGGTCAGTTACAGACAAACAGCCCTCAGGGCATCCTGTTCTCAGGACCGGTTTCACTGTCATCACACACACACACACACACACACACACACACACACAAAGTTAATGTGGTAGAGTAATAAGCACAAACACCTGTAGATGTATAAAGTGTCATGGCGCAGAAATACTCCAGTAGAGTACAGTACTTCATATCTCTCTCTCAAATTAAATCGAAGGCAACTGGACTTGTATTTGTCTGTGGAAGACGTTTCGCCTCTTATCCAAGCGGCTTCATCAGTTCATCATGTATTGGTCTCTCTAGTCCGCACTAGTCTAGGTCAGACTAGTGCTACTCCCTAATGACCTGGACGAATGAGAACATTCACAGACAATACTTCATATCTGCATCACTGTAGATAAGTAAATAGGATTTTTTTAATTTCAGCCAAATGTAGCATTAAATCGACTGAATCACTGGATGAGCTGCTGCTCAGTAATGAAAACCAGACTGTTCTCACCGACTCCGGTGCAGCCATGAGCTCAGGTTTCTTCTTACCAGCGTTGTTGACCAGTATGATGTGATCTATGTCCTCACAGAAACACTCTTTAGAGGCTCTGACGACGCTCTCCACTCCCTCAGTCTGCCCCAGGTCTGCCACCACACACTCAGCCACCAGGCCCGCTCGACCCTCCTCAGACTCGGCCAGCTCCGCCTGCAGAGAGCGCAGGTCGTCTCCGGTGCGGGCCACTAGGACGAGCACTGACCGCGGCTTCACCAGCCGGGACATCTCCCTCGCTGCAGCCCGGCCGAAGCCTCTGGAGGCCCCGGTGATGATGCACAGCGCCCGGCCCAGGTCTCTACTGTCGGTGGACGACATGTTGCTGAGAGGCAGAGGAAGCTTATGGACAGTGTCTGAAAGCTCCGGAGCAATGCGATTTTCACCCGATAAGAACGATTCTTCTTCTGAGGTTTCAGCAGCGGTGTAAATCCACTTGTTGCCCTGTCGCCATCTCTCGGTTTCACACCAATTCACACGCATTAACACACAGGGCATCACCAGGGGAGAGTGAAGAGAGACTCTGTGGTAATGATGACTAAGTTTATATCATCTAATCACGGGAGGCAAAGTCACAAGTACGAGATAAGTTATGAAAAACTGGATTAGCTGAATACGCTTCCATAGTAATTACAATGTAATCAAATTACAATCAATATAAATCAACATCAATATATATACTATACATTAATATTATTTTATTTTTTTTATTCAACACCAGTCCTGCTCATAAAATAGTCAATCATTTTCAGGATTTTAACCCTTTAAATGCCAGTTAGTTTACATAATGCCGCTGTTGTTTTTTATGTAAAAAACACAAAGTGAATTAATTTACACATATTAAATGCTAAGTGGATTTTTGTTTTGTTTATCACAGTCTGGGATATGTCAGTGATTAGAAACATTGATGCATTATTTTTTTTTTTGTGGAATGTCAGATTTGTGATTGTACATTGTTAGGGAGGGATCAAAAATTGCATTTTTAATGGGTTTCATTTTTGTCTTTAAGGTCCTGAGTGTAACTATTTTGTGTACATAGTTTATTATAGACAGTTCAGGAGCTGAGGTTGAAATTCCAAAATTCCCCCCAAAAATACACAAACTTGGCAAAATGTATGCCATTTGCAATAACAGCCAAAAAGTCAAAAAATAAAAAATGAAACAGACAAAAATGTCCCTGAGGATGCACAAGGTTTAAGTAACTGAAACGACCCGTGACATTTCAGTGAAACAGAGACAAGCAGGACAAAAGGCTTTTTTTCTTTTTTATTTCACTGGAGTTATAATAAACAAAAACTAATACAACTGTTTTCACAAAAAGCTACTGGATTTCAGTCAAGTCTTGAATATCTGTTTATAATGAATCAGAGACTTAACGTGTATTAAACAGCCAACATATTCACTTGTCTCATGTCTACAGTAAATTAACAATGTTGGTAAAAAGTTCACACACCATCAGAATGTGAAGGCGCACACACACACACACACATGCACACACACACACACACACACACACACACACACACACACACACACACACACACACGCACACACACACACACATTTGTAATTCTAGGTGTGTGAAAGAGTCTGTGAGTCTGAGACCTAAAAATCATAAAATGTCTTATTGTAATAAGCACAATATAACGCAGCTATTGTTGGGAAAATATAGATAAAATCTGAATTTAAGTCGATTTAATCAAGTCCTGGTGAATATATATTTTCTTCACATACTATCTTCAGAAGTCTTCCTCTCTAAATCCTTCATCCATCCTGAACTGAAAGCCACTTTCTCCTCAGCCTCTACATGAGGGAAACATGAAGTTATATTTTAAAACATTAATTAAAGTAGTAGACACAGAAAACTGAACCTACCAGTCCTATTTGAAACATGACAGAAGCATAAATTAAAGGACTTGATCTTTTGGATGACAGAGGAATGTAAGAAATTCATCACTTCTGGGAGACGACAAAAAAGGAATGTTAACAAATCCAAAGTGTTTAGTAATGGCTGTAAAACTATGGCTGACAACAACCTCACATCATATCCTCACTCCCACAAACTGAAGCAGCTGTAAGTGTTTGTATGTGTGGACAGATGTGGCAGATGTTGAGGGTTGAGTTACATGTTGGATTCACTGTGAGCGCGTTTATCGTTTTCAAAATCACTATCCTGGGAGATGAGCTTGTAAGGTTTCTTCCTCTCCTTCTCCTCCAGCACCGAGTTCCCCATCTCCACGTCTCTGCTGCGGAGCTCGTGTCGAGACAGGAACTCCACGATGCCGGCTCCGATCGAATCCCCCAACACGTTGGTGGTGGTACGCAGACGGTCCCTGTGTGCAACCAAAATGTGGTCAAATTATATTCACAAGACATAAAACAAAGTGATGATTTCAAAGGTTTGAAAGATTACAGTTGTTTTGAAAGATATATTACTAAAATTAAAATGAGGTTTTGTCTGTCATAACTGTTTCATATTCACGATAAACATCCATCCATCCCTTTTCTGCTGCTTGTCTGGAGTCAGGTCGTGGTGGCAGCAGGATGAACAGGGTATTCCAGACGTCCCTCTCCCTAGCAATGTCTTTCAGCTCCGTCTGGGGGACCCTGAGGCATTCCCAGACCAGATGAAATATATAGTCTCCATCATGTTCTGGGTCTACCCCGGGGCCTGCTACCAGTTGGACCGGCAAATCACCATAGGAAGACACATCAGTAGAGGATTTTCACTCCTGTCCCATCCCAATTCTGTGACAGAATTTTAAAAAAATCCTGTCCCGTCCAATCCTGGAAGAATGATTTCTTAGATTTCTTGGTAGAAGATACAAATTACCAATGTTCCTTAAACGTCTCAAATGCAGACAATCAGTACATTCTACAAATTTCCAACGTGAACTAAATGCCTCTCATGACCCACAGGATTCCTGAAAAATTGTCAGCCTCTACCACCTCATTCCTTAGGACACAAAGGAGCAGCGACTCTACTCCGAGCTCCCTCTGGATGTCTGAGCTCCACACCCATCTATCTAGGGCTGAGCCCAGGCAACCTACAGAGGAAACTCTTTTCAGCCACTTGTATCTACGATGTCATTCTTTTGGTCTCTACCCAAAGCTGAGACCACAGGTGAGGGTTGGTACATAGATCAACTGGTAGATCTAAAGCTTTGCCTTCCAGCTCAGCTCCATCTTCACTACAGCGGTCTGGTACAGTGCCTGGACTCACTGATGCAACGCCAGTGAGAAGGAAGAGACAAAGCTGAACACAGAGGTGTTATGCAGACTGCAGCCATGTTGTTACATTATCTTGAGCTGGCGTGAACAAGGAAGGTCATCAGGGAGCTAAATGCAAGCAAACTAATATGGCTAAAATCGTGGATGTTAATGGGGATTGAGGCCAATGAAAGTACTGTAGACAAAGGTGGGTCCTGAGTTTGTTGGAACGAGAACTGACCACAGCTGAGGTTTTATGGAAAGACCTGAACTTCACCCTGATGCCTGGATGGAAAACCCACTGCATGAGATCATCATCGCCATGGAGCAGGCTAACCAGGGACAGAAACAAAGTGGACCGTCTCAGGGGTGACATGTCTTACGATGAACCTTACAACACCTTAAGATCCCTGAAGAAGACAGTCCCTGAGAAGAAGACAGGAGGAGTTTCCCTCTTCACCTGTTTCCGGGTCCTGCTTACTTCTCCCCGGCCATGTTTGTCCCTTCATCTCCCCATTTGAACACCTGTCTTCTTACCCACCTGACGAGCGTCCCCACCCACTCACACACCTGTTCCTAGTTATCTCATTATGCCATCAGTATTTTTTTGTCACCAGCTCCAGGTTTTGTTCCCTCTTGGTTGCTGGTGGCAGCACAGACAGGGAGGACCCAAACACAGAGAGGACCCAAACATAGACTCACCAGACAGGATGATCCATTGGAGGAGTTTCACGAGAAGAAAAATGGCGTACAGGCAGACAGGTGAGTTCACAAACAGGCAGGAAAATGAGCAGGTACAGGACAACAACTTCAATAGGCCTGTAATTACTGAACAAATAGCCTATATGATATTGGAGTCTATTGTCTGGCAATTGTTCTATTTTGGATTACAGCACATCCCAGTAGAAAATATGCTGCGGCCCAGTAGCGGTCCATGGCCCCATGGTTGGGGACCACTGCTCTACTCCCATGAATAATTAAGAGACTAAGTAAAATCCTTTAAAACCACGTACCTGGAGCAGTGATAGTTTTTTTCTGCCTTTTAAAATAGCAAAAGTGACATGAACACGCCCTGCATGTGTTTGCACCATGCGCTTTAGGCTGAGCGCTTTGGACTGTTACAATAGAGCTCTGAGTGCAGCAGCTGTGGAGAACACTACACAGCACATGGGGAAGACACTGTGGAAACAATAGCTCCTTTACACCTTTGTGATAACAGCAAAGTTAAAGGGATGGTGTCAGATTTTGGGGAAAAACACTTATTCACTTGCCTAAAGTAGAGAAGCTACAGCCAGCAGAGTGTTAGCTTAGCTTATCTTATCTTAGTATAAAGACTGAAAATGGGGGGGCAAACAGCTAGCCTTCCTCTTTCTGAGGGTAAACAAATCTGCCTACCAACACCTATAAAGATCACTAATTAACATGTCATATCTCTTTTGTTTACAGTAACCCAGTCCTGGTTCTGTGCTGGACTGTTTCTTGGCTGGACCAGTCAAAGAAGGAGGTCTTTAACAGTTAGATGTGTTCAGACTTATTTAAACCTTTATGAAGATTCATGAAGCTCAAAACAATTAGCTTGATTCACTAATTTAAACCTGTGGTTGCTGGTAATCTTGCTCTATGAAACACTCCTCAGGTTTATAACATATGCACTTCTGTTAGAGACTATACTTTGTTCCATTCAGTGCGAGAGGGCCTGGGTTAGCGAGGCTTCCTGAAGACAGGCCATTCATATTTGGTCCATCCTAGTTAAAGAAGAGAAGGGTTTCTGCTTATTACCCCAGTTAGCTGAGTAATTTCTGGGAAGGGTATTCTAATTGAAATGATTAATTTGGGAAACCTAATTATGTTTCTATGTTAAAACTCATTGCAGAAAATATTCAATACAAAAGGGAAGATGTAGAGCAAGACTCCAGGGATGCAGGAGAAGTGTGTCACTAGGTGGTAGTAGATACAGAGCTGCTCTTGACCTTTAAAATGACAGAGATGATTCATGGAGGGATGTGAGGTACAGTTACAGCACTTCAACCTGTCACACTCCTGTGTTTGACTGGCTCTTATACTGTATTCATTGGTTCAAGCTACTTACAGAAACCAATCAACTGCAATGATGAGAGTGATGTCATCAGTAGGAAGTCCAACAGAGGTTAATACAATCACCATGGTGACCAGGCCTGCCTGAGGGATGCCAGCAGCTCCAATACTGGCTGCAGTTGCTGTGATACTTGAAGAGAAACATACAGACAGTTCAAAGGCTGACTTTTATAGCAGCAACTTTTGGTTGTGATCCCCCTCTTCTTTTAATTCTTACCTTATGGTGATGATCTGACCAAAGTTCATCTCCATATTGTTGACCTGAGCAATGAAGATGGCTGCCAGCGCTTCATACAGAGCTGTTCCATCCATGTTGATGGTGGCGCCCACAGGAAGCACAAAGCGTGTGATTCGCTTATCGATTCTGTTGTTTTCCTCCAGACATTTAAAGGTGACAGGGAGGGTGGCCGAGCTGGGGGAGAAAAGGGCAGAAACACTTCAGTACATGCATCAGTGACATCACTGTTCTTAACGATGCAACGTATGCTGCTGATTCTGATTCTTCAGTTCAGTAGTGAGTTCAGTCTGCTGGGTTGAACTGTTACATTCAATTCAGTACAAGTCTGGTCTTGTACAGGTTTTTCAGGTTAACAGCTAAGGAACAAATTCTTTGTGATAGTTATCAGCTCATGACTCAGTAACCAGGAAGTAGCTGACAGCAGAGCTCTCCAGTGATGAGCTCCACTGCTGAAAGCTACTGATCTAGTCAGTGACAAAGCATCAGTGTCATCAGTTCAGTTTAAGGTTTAAAGATGTCCTGAACAACGCTAATATCTATGTTCAAACAGAGACAACAGGGAACGCTTTGAGAGCGTCTCACAGTGGCTGCTAAGTGTGTGACCAATGAAAAAGAAAACTTGAGAAATAAGTTCAAACCTTACATACTTCAACACTATGGATGCAAACCCCACAATTCTGACGTCAAACAGTTGCAGGTGCACTGTGTGACAATTCAACAAGAATACTGACACTTTAAGAAAACAAGAAAGGTTATAGATTGTAGGACATAGTTCAAAAGCTGGACAGAGCTGTTTTCACCTGCTTCCAATCTTTATGTTAGAAACTATACTAGACACTCGAGTTTGACTGCACTGAACTGCCGTTCCCAAAATGCTAGCATGTTTGTTTCAGGTAATAATTGTGATTCCTTTAAGTGTGGTAGTGTTGGGCAGGACATACCTGGAGGAGGTCCCCAGGGCTGTGACCAGAGCTTGCAGGAGTCCGGCAATGAAGATAAAGGGGTTCTGCCGAGTGATGACAAAATAAAGTGTGGGAAGAATAAGAACAGCATGGATCATTAAGCCAATGATGACTGTGATGGTGTACATGCCCAGCTGGCCCCCCATCTGTGTCAGATCATCCATCTCCACAATCTTTCCTGCAATGAGGAACAGGATACCAATGGGGGCGTACCTGAGAGGGGGAGAGGAACATTGAGTTACTGAACTGATGGTAACGTTTGTTCAACAGCTTCCCTGATAGTGAAGTCTTACCACATGATGATGGCAACCAGGCGCATGATCGCTTCATTGAGGCTGTCGAAAAAATCCCTCAGGAGCTGGCCCTGCTCCTTCATATTGCCAATTATCAAACCAAAGCACATGGAGAAGACCACCAGCCCGAGGGCATTGACCCCGTTCACCTGACCTGGCACTGGGATCACTTCCTCCCGGGTGATCTCCATGACCTCTTGGGTGCCATTGGTTGAGTTGAAGAGGGTGTCATTCACTGTTACTGTCACATGGACCACTCGTTTTCCATATTTGGTTTTGAACTGGAGAATGAGAAAATTAAAGGACGGTAGTTATATCAGTGGAGTCTGGTGCGGCAGACTGTGCTAATCTCAACCTTCAGAATCACGTAGTAGTACTCTGTGTTAAATTACTATTTCATAAAGGTTGTAATGGACCCCCGACATTTGCTCTAGTGGAACCATCAGGTCAAAGAGTTTCATGGCCTTTCCTAGAGCGCCACTCCCAGGTCAACCTCTTCTTTGTCAATAAGAGATAAACTTGGATTATGACATTAGCTTGGATATACATGACCCTCAGGGGGTTCATCCTCTGGTGATCATAAATTGCCCGACAGTGCACAGGAATATTGACATATTCATACTGGGCTTGTATTAATTCTCAAGGCTGGCTTTGTGTTTAAGTTGGTTTCTGTCTTAACCATGTTGCGAGGTGTTGGCCCTTGATTGGTCAGAAAGTTGTTAGATACATTATTTTGTGGCGTGTAATGAAGATTCAAGAAACTATGAGCTGCTTGCCAAAAGATGACCTATTGTAAGACTTGATGGATACAAAGTGCTGCAAATTTGGTAAGTATTAACAGTAAAGCTCACCTGCTGTGTGCAGGCCTGGACCAAGTTTGGTGGGAACATGTTTCTGAAATGAGAAATCAGTGATTAAGAGATGGTGTTGACCAGTTACTGTCACATGTCATTGTTGTGACTTCCTTACTGATGTGCAGGCTACCTGATCAGATCTAAGAAGGCGTCAGCGGGACTGACTTGCTCTATTGTCTGCTGCTTCCCAAACTCATCTTTGGATCCTTTTCCTGGGTGGATGATGAGGACGATTATGATACCTATGAAGACTGCGATGAAGGTTGTGGTCATGTAGTAAATCACGGCTCTCATGCCCATCTTTCCTGAGGCTTTGCTGTCCAGAGCTGCCATTCCTAATGGACAGAGGGTTGAAACGCAGTTCATCTGAGTATTAAGACATGAAAAAATATTCTTTACCAATAAGGAAGCAGATTATGGGTTAATTATGTAACAGTGTGTCAGGTAGATCCTACAACCAGTAGTCCATTATTATGAAGCAGACATTCTGTGCTTGTGTGCTGAGCCTCCACTGTTTCAGCAACAGATGAAAAATACTGTTGCACACCACAACCACTCTCAACTGTATTTCTCCAGACAATCACCAAAACCTTGTGCTTTAAAAAATACCCACATTTCTCTCTATTGATGACCTGGTGGTGTCTATTGATTTTCCAACCCAGTTTAGATGAAACACCGCCCTCTTCCGTTTGATAATTGATCGAATGGTGCGCTTCCCTGTTAGTTTTGCTCTTGGTCATGTGTGTTTCTGTGAGATCCAAAGTCCCTGGACTCGCCTCTCTGAAATGGTTTAGTGTAAATGCACAGTGTGAGGCTCTGTGTCTTGACTGAGTCGTCTGGTTTGTGGGTTTACGATCATCATGTTTTACGTCCTCGTTCTCATGACGACAGACATGGTCTGAGATTTTGTTGAGTCCCTCACCTGCTTCTGCAGATGTGTCCACTTCGAGTAGGTGCTCATGTTGATTCTCACCTGAGATTCACCTGAGACTTTGGTACAAGATGGTGATATTCCCCCTCAATGTCCGGTGTGGCTGCTGACCATTTAAAACTGACCAGATGTCACTGTGCCTTGTGCTTTTGTATCAGAGATCCAAACATGGTCTCCAGGTGACAGGTCCCTTGCTCTTTGCCTCATATTGAAACATTTTGCATCCATCCATCTTTTTGCTCTCTGCTGGAGTTGTTTGCAGGTCTGAGAGAGTCAGGTGCAACCTCTCTGGAAGGGTAAAGCAATTTGGTGCAAAATAATCTACCACTAGCAAGTACTGTCTCTTTGGGTGACTAGATCTGCATCTTGTTTTTGCCAGGGCTTGTCTCAAAATCTGGTTGGCATCAGAGGTTCTTTTGCACCTACCCTTTCTTTGATGCATTCTCTGCATTTAATACCTCACTAATCTGACTGCTTAGTCCAGGCCAACACACTGTGCGACTAGCACATTCTCTGCATTTTACCATCCCCTGGGGGCCTTTGTGTATGGGGAATGTTAGCAGGCACACCTGACCTTGTGCCATGCAGTATAAGTCCATCATGCACACTTAGAACTGCTCTCTCACGGCAGTAGTGGTCAAACTAACTGGCCAACTCCCCACATGGTATTTCATGACTTGTGTACAAACACCATCTGCACACAGCTACTCGCAAACATATCTATCGCTTGTCGGGCGATTGTCCAGCACAGACTCAAGGTAGATATTAGTGTCATCCATCATGTCATTATCAGCTTATGTAGACCTGTCTTTGAGTGTGTCAACAGTTTTGAGCCTTTTTATAGGCGTGTGTTTGGTTATGTAGGAATACGTCATTCAGTGCATCCTGAATCTATATACGAGGTGGCAGCAAGTCCCAAGCCTGCCTACCTAGTAGACTTATAAGAGGTTTGTGGTCAGTTTCCAGTTCAAAATGTAGTCCAAGGATGAAATCAATAAACCCCTCACAGCCCAAAGTCAGGGCCTGTGCCTCCATTCTCCAGTTGAACATATCCCTTTTCTGTGTCTGTCAGTGACCAGGAAGCATAAGTGACCGTAGACCAAGTCTCTCCATCCTTTTGTTCATCACTGCCCCTAGTCTGTACACTGAGACCTTTGCAGACATTTTCAGTTGCTTGTTAGGGTCACCCAGCTTGAGGAAAACAAAATTCCCCCTTTTTGTCTTTTTCAGCCAGATTTGGTATGAACTTCCCTAAATGATTCACCATACCTGTGAAGCTCCTGAGCTCACTCATATTCATTGGCATACAGCTCTCGTTTATGTGGATCTGGCCTCAAGCCATCAGATGAGATTATGTAACAAAGAAACCTCTTTTCCCAAACTCACACTTTGACATAATGAGTGTGACAGCTGCTTTTTCCGCTCGATTCAGGACAGCGTGCAACCTAGGATCCTAATCCTCATCTCTAGGATATCATCCATGTGGCAGACAACACCTTCTATGCCTGCGGTAAACTCAGTCACCATCCTGTTCTGGAAATGTCCTGGGGCAGAGGTAATACCAAAAGGCGGGCAGTTAAAGTGATAACACTGGAATCCACTATCCATGTACTTATAGTACACTGCATGTTGCTGTACTTGCTAATGTGAACACACTTATGCTCTCAAAATATCAAATGTGAGTATGGGAGTACACGAGACACAGCCACAGTTACACCTGAGCCAAGTAGCAGAGCCTGTCACCCTGAACCATACTGAGCCCACCCCATGACATCATCAACAGGTTAAATGCCAAACTGTTCACATTACACCACATGAACAAAACATTGGGATTTCAGCAGTGTAATTTTTTCCTTCATGTCCTGCCTCCATCATCTACCCAGGCGCCACCGCTCGCCAACACACACACAGACAATCAAGACCTGATCCTCTGGACATTGTCCAGAGTTCATGTCAGAAAACACTGTTTAACTGCTGCCTCAGCTGATCATCTGTCATCTGTAAGTGATTATTGGTGAAAAGCTGCACAGACGCTGGACAAATAATATTGGGGAGTGGGAGAAGTTATTTTGAGTGTACAGGGATCTGGAAGGTGAGTATGGAATTTAACTAGGATTCCCAAGGTGCATTTCAGTGGAAACAGTCGACCAACTAACTGTAAATTCTGTTACATGTATAGCTGAATGCAAGCTGAACCCAACGATTACATTTTGTAGACAACACAATCTGCAGCTTCTCTGTAGCAACTAATCTGAGGTTTATGGGTATTGTAGAGTTTAGAATTTACCAAACTGACAAAAAAAAACAACAACCATAGACTGTAAATAAAGATGGACGTAGCCACCATGATGTCACCCACAGGTTTCCGAAGAGCGGTTTAGAAGCTCAGAGTGGGCTGCTCCACCACTGCCCCCCCCCTCCCCCCCTCCATACAGTTGTCATGAACGACAAAATTAGCTATAGAGACCAAAACTGGTGGTCTATGGGAATTGACTCACTTTTGGAGACAGCCTCAAGTGTTTTCAGTTTTCTTCAGTGTTGGCTTCACTTTTCAGCCCTGGAGGTTGCTACTTGGAAAAAACATTTGTCCCAGCTATAGCTGTGGTTCAACTAACCTCCGTAACATAATGGTATTCCTCCGTGATTGAAAAGTGTTCAGTTATGTTTCAGCTTTTCGGAAAGGTCAATGACAGATATTATATTCATAAACAGACTCTCAGTGGAATGAAATCACTGCCTTGAAGAAAGTGAGAGGTTATGATCCACCGATGTTCCCACAGTCTGGAGCAGTTAGAGGTGATGGATTTGAACCAGGTCTCCTCTGGAACTGAATCTCTTCATCACTGAGCTGAGGGGGGGGGGGGGGGGGGGGGGGGGGGGGGGGGGGGGGGGGGGGGGGGGGGGGGGGGGGGGGGGGGGGGGGGGGGGGGGGGGGGGGTGGGGGGGGGGGGGGGGGGCGAAGCTGGACTCCTCAGTGGTTACTGGTTTGTAAAGATGACCTCCCCATGAACCACCTCCACTGGGATGTAATAACTGTTCTTTCTCAGCAACAAAAAAACCTATTTGAAAAATACTGTTGATCTTTTCACAGTTTGAATAATAGTAACGTTTGTCACCAGTTACCATAGCTCCAGTTCCAGCCTTTCATGTGTTATTACAGTGGAGTCATAGATTTTGTAATCCAGGTAGCTGCACCTGACAAATGTTCTTACGCTTTTTGTAAAACGCAGGAAAAATAGTTTGGGAAAATGGAGACTGTTGACCAGATTCTTCTTCTGTGGTTTAGACAACAACAGTTCCTTGGTTCAGGTTAGTGAAAGATGTTGGTTTAGGTTAAATGCCCTGAAGTCACTGGGAAGTTGTTGTGTATTAAACCAGAACAGGATCTTTCCCTGACCTGAACCTTGAGCTGTGAGAAACTGAACAGAACCACAAAACAGTTTAATAATGTGGAGTCACTGCAGGTGGAGACTGTACTGACTGTTCTGGTGGAAAACAAACACGTCATCTGTGAACATTTTACTGATGCGTTCAGGATCAATGTATCTGAGACTGTTCTCATTACATTAATAGGAAACATATCTGGTCATTCAGAACATATTTGCTGTTGCAGTTTAGTTCCATATAAAGAAGATTCCCTAATTTTCCCCTCCTCTATGAAGTGAGCATAAACACTTCACACTAGGCCTGACAATCATTCATTTCTGACTTGTATATGTACATATACACAGTATATGGCTCTTAATATGATACATATCTTATCTATGTCAATTTGCTGTGAGTCTGAAGAGCTATAACAGGATTCATGTGTATTTTATGACACATTCATCCCCATTCATTCCAACCCCCTTAAGGGATCTCAAGATAAAACTGAGGTGACAATATATACAACTAATTTGCAACAGCAGATACATTTTGAAGGAAACATAATGCAGGCCAGATTAAGGTAATGAGAATATGTTGTTAATTTATGTACCTTGTAAATTCCAAATATGTTGATAACACATCAAAATGACAACTGCTTTTAATTAGTCTTTTAATTACGTTAAACAGTGGTGAGACCAAACCATCCTCAGATTACGACTTCCAAGGTCAAGAATGAAGCAACTTCATTTTCAGTAATGTTTCAGTCAGAACTGTGAGAAGGGCCTGATAACAAGTCCCTAAAAGGCTTATTCTAAAGTCATTATCATATCTGTGCATTTTGTGGTCAGTGTTGACTGCACATATAAGATTTAAGATCTGATGCCATAAATAAATCACTAGCTATCATTAAATCTTGCTGTGTGAGTGTAGCTGAAGCCAGATCACAGTCGTTACCTCTGTCAGAGACCCTTTTTCTTTTTCACTGCTTCATTTCTGATTCATTTAAACAGCAGAGACACAGTGCAGTGGCTGAGGAAGACACAACACTGTAGAGACAACTGAGCAGAGGCAGTGAAAGATCATAAAAGATCCAACATGTTAATATCGCATGAAGATAAAAGACTACAGTAAAGAAACTGAATCACAACAAAGTGAATGTTAACAGGTCCTAAATCCACTGACTGATCAGTTACATAATGTGTGAAGGTGTTGTACCTGTTATGAGACTGGAGATGAGTAAGGGCAGAACAAGCATCTGAAGCATCCTCATCAGCAGCTCTCCAGGGAAGGAGAAGTACTTCACCTCTCGATAGGTCATCTTATAGGGGCGGAGCGCGAAGCCCAGAACGATACCTGCAGAGAGAGACACGGGCCGGGCCTGTATATTATGTGTATGTGTGTCTCTGACAAGACTGTGACTGAACGAGGCCTGAGACATTTACATTCTAGCTCACAGAGGCATACACACCTACAACAACTGCAGCGACTGTGAAGAGCACAAAGGCGTTCTTCTTGAGGAAAGCTTGGACATCCTCTTTGGAGATCTCCTCCACTTTCCTCTTTGCCTTCATGGTACGTATGTGAATGCCTTCCCTGATACGCTGCATCCTGCTGCAGAAAACAAACAAATGTCCATTACTGAAAACAAGAGGTGTGTAGACTCACCAGCATGCTGATAAATCCATTCAGTATTTATCAAGAAACTCTTGGTTTTAAAGGAACGACACAGACGTTTTCAAATCTGCTTTAATGCAATATTCACATATTCATATGCATGTTGAAAGAGTTAAGTCAGGGTAATTAACCCTGTTTATAATACTGGCTGTGAACTGATCCCTTACAATTTGAGATAAAAGAAAGAAAATCTAATCTTTGTTCGTGCAAACTTCCCTCTTTGGGTTCGCATGGACAGTGTTTCTTTGCTGAGCCTGTGATGAGATCATTTATGGTGGACATGGTCTGTCTCTGGAACCACTTTACTACCCGAGGTGTGTTCAGACTGAATGTGAAATGAACTTTAGTCGTGGGTGCTCAGAGGGAAAATACTTCCTGTGTCAAAAATTCACTGGGCTGCGGAAATGCATCTTAATAAAGGGGCTATTTGTACGTTTTCTTTGCCGCTGAATGTGGTTTCTTCCTGGGAACCAGTGGTGATGGTCGCTTGCCAAGAGCTTCGGCCAACGTCGCGTTTACAAGACAAGAGGTTATAATACGTCCTCTGAGCATCTATGCCTTCAGGACAGGCTGGAGGCTACAGTGAATCAAAAAGTGAGGAGATGGTCCGAGGCTAGCTGGTTAGCATGCTAACTTCAGTAGAAGAAAAGATGTGATAGAGACAAGAGTTAACATTGGTGTTTGTTTCCACCTCTGGAGACAGATGTTGGTGAGTAAAGAAATGAAGTTTGATGCTGAACGCACAACGTTTCTTCTAGACTGGTAAGTAAACAGCTGTTAATGCTAATGGCAACGCTTACACATAGCTCCTTTAAAAGGTACCAGTGAGGTGATAATAATCCAGGAAGTGCAGTGTGAGTAACAGATCCAAGAGTTTAAAGGTTTAACGTTTGCCAAAACAACACGTGGTGCTTCATAATACTAGGAAGAAGGATTTCACTGCTCTGAAAACTCCTCTGTTACGTCTGTTATTGTGACAATAGCGAGCTAAAGAAATATGGCACTCATATCGCAACGAAATTTTACCACTTGCATATGCTGTATTTGATTGTCCAGCCTGAACAACATGATGTCACATCACTCTCTGGGGAAAGTTGAGCCAGGTTCAGTTTTTTTGTTGGACCATGTGTTTTTATGGTGGAGCCCTCTGTGTTGGCCCCACCGTCAACTCTATGGCCACATTCTCTGGACACAGCTGTTGGTGAGTCAAGGAATGAAGTTTGATGCTGGACTCACAACGTTTCTTCTAGACTGGTAAGTAAACAGCTGCTAATGCTAACGTTTGTTATGTAGCAATAGCAACACTTACATAAAGTTCCTTTGACCTTTTTGCTGTGGAAAAACTTCAATTGTTTACTTTTGTCTGAATAAATCCAAAGCATCTTGTTAGTGGTGGAGTTCAGTGTTTCTGCTCCACTTTACATTCAATGTATCTGTGACCTGGAAATTGTAAAAGGAAACACAAAGAACTTTGACTTTAGAGGAAACCCACTTTATTTGCCCACACCACTGATTTTAGCTTCAGCTAAACTTCATGAGGGCAGTGGATTTCATCCCCATCTCATATAAGTCACATTAGGAGGGGACCACAGTCACCAATAACTCTTCAAACATACTGTATGTCTGGACAGGTGAGTATTATATTAACATACGTAGATAAACACAACCTTATACAGTTGTATTGATTATATTTTCAACTTAAATTTAACTCCTGTGCAACTTTTATATGAAGCAAGAATATATGAAATAAGGATATTGTTTGATATTTAATTAGTTTAATTAGTCTAAAAGCAGTCATTCAGTTGTGTATAACAGAAAACAAATGCTCCATTTAAAGGGTCAATTCACCAAATCAAAATTTATTTTCTCACTTACCTCTAGTCCTGGTGATAGTTTTGGTTTTATTTGCACAGATCAAACAAATATTTGAGGTCTTCAATTTTTTTCAAATGTAAATTTTCAGTCAAACTGAATGTTTCTTTGGTGAATTGATCCTTTAATATCCATATTTTTACTTTCTTAAACTGCTAATACAGTCAATTGCTTTCTCCTTTCCAAGAAACTATTCATTGATTTAATCCAGTTCTTTGCTATACAGGAAAACTTTTTTATCCATCACCCAGTGGAGTTAAAACAACCAGAAGCCACAGACCTGTTACTACAGAACAAAGAGAGGCTGTCGATCACGTACCTCTGTGGGCTGGTGTTTGCTCTTCAGGTGACACTGGTGACCCGGCCGGCCTGTGAAGCAGCAGCAGAGGAGGGTAAGAAGAGCTGGAGTGTTGTTGGAGCGTCTGGGCTTCAGGAGGACGGAGTGACGGGGAGATGAATCTCTGAAGTGAAGCACAGGAAAGAGAGCTCTCCTGCTCCTACTGTAATTGGAAAGGAAGGGAGGGGAGACACCAGAAGAGAGACAGAGGGGGGAGGGGGCGAGACTAAGAGGACAAATTAGAAAATGGTTGTCCCATAATAACACTGTTAGCCCTGTGACACAGTTTCAGCTAAAACCCAGATGTATGAAAAACTTTGTTCAGAGTTGTGATCAAAATCCTCATGGAGTTATTTCTACATCTTCCTCACCTCTCCTCTCATCCTCTTCCTCACTCTCCTTTGTATCTGTAACACGTTCATCACTTTGTCTCGCTCTTATGGAGTCTGTACGTTGCAGAAACACAGAATTGATTCTCTCATAAAACAATAACCAAGCTGAACTGATACGCATCATCTCACTCGGGAAGTGTTATAGTTTAAGGTAATTCCACAGAGTCAAAGTCACACCACAATTAGCTGAAAAAAGTAGAACTTGTAATAAGTGACCTCACTGTATGGAAAACTATTCCCCGGTGATGTTGAACATAATTAGTGAAGAATACCCCTCAAATCAGGTCACAGCCTTTTACAAACACTATTCCCCGGTCACTGTCGCTCCAATGAATGAAATATTTCTGAAGACGTTTGTTAATGATCCAAACTGTCTCAAGAGGGTCAATACTCACAGCTTACTTTAAACAATTTATAATCAAATCCCAATTTTCTCATTCTTTATGCCCCACAGCCACAGCAGCAGTATGCTGTGTTTCAGAAGACACTGTATGTCAGTGATAACCAGGGTTGTATGAAGTATTCTGATACTCTCCTTCTGTAAAAGTAAAAATACCAGAGCAGAGCAGCTGGTGAACGTAGTAGAGCATTCAGAAGATAAAGAGCCACATATTTATTTTAGGAGGTGGTGGAGACCAAACACAGAGCTAAACGAATCCTCATGTGTTATGTGTCTCCTGGATGAGTGAATAGAAAACTGTTTGCTAACATAACTAATTTGTAGCACCACTATCTGGTCAGAGTGTCTGATCCGGAAGGTATCCTGAAAAGAAATGTTACAGTTTCCATGAATTTTGCAGGTAAGTAATGAAGGAGCTTTTTGCTGTTTGGAGGAAAACACTCTCACCCCCCCACGGGGTGTGTGCAGTGTTCAAAATACTCAAAAGACCAGTAAATGTCCACACCAAAGAATTTAGTTAAATTTGTTTAGTAAATCTTTTCAACAAGCAATGAACAAATACAGAATTCTGGATCAGATGTGTATTTCCCTAACCAATAACAAGTGTTGGTCAGTCCACAGTCTGACAACCTAACTTTCCCTGATCCAGTGTATTTATACAGATACAAACAAAGAAATGTGCACGGGCGTTTTGCCGTCTTCTGATTGGCTCTGCTGGCTTCCTCCTTCCCATCTGACTCCGACCCTAAGTGAAACCTAAAACTCAGCGCGCCAAAAAGAAGACAGTTAGTGTTTACACATAAATTAGCACTACCTCTGTTACCCCCGGCTGCCCCCTACACATGCCCATAGAGTGGTCCTTATCAGTGGTTGTAAATAGTTTCCTTGAGGCAGATGTTTAAACCACAACTCACCCTTAGCACCTAAATATCCACTAGTGTAAATCATTAAACAGTTTTAGGTTTAATAGCCTGAAATATTCCAACAGTAAGAAGGATGAAAAAATGACAGAAGTATAAATAAATGAATAATTAAAACATAAATAAATGCAAAATTAATGTATAGAAGAATACTATTGCTATATTTATGTATTTATTTATGTATATATATTATTTCTAGATCTATTAATTTATTTATTTATTCCTGTATTTCTACATGATTAGACAAATATGGAAATAAATGAATACATAAATAAATGAATCTAGAAATGCATAAATAAATAAAAGTAAAAATACAGAAATTGTATTTTTCATTCATGCATTTGTTTTGTGTTTATTTATGTATTTTTTTTAATTATACGTCATTTTTTGTCCTTCCCAGTTATAATGATAACGACTTCTAAGAATGTGCAGAACCACCACTTCAACCTCTCTCTCCACTAGCGCTGTGTCCCTCACTGCCCCAGAGAGTCCATCATCATCTGGAGCCCTGCAGCAACCAACGCACATACCAACACAGCTCTGTTAACATAAGTATACAAGCACGACCACTATAGGTTTCATCTCCATTAGCAATAGAACACATGACAGTAAACATCTTCATCAGTCAGTCATGTGGAGCACAGACAATAATCTGCATCTCAATCCAAACAAAATACACAATCATACCATTGACGTCTGGTGTGAACCACAGTCCACACTTCACTTTCCTTCTACATCAGCTCAGGACCTGCTGCTCTGCCTCTGTGCTGTAACATTAGAAATATCATCACATCATCAGTAACAGTCTGGTACAACAGTTCACACAGTCAGTGTCACAACACACTGTAGTGGACTGTCATCATATCCAAAATCACTGGCGTTCACATACAACAATAAAATCCTTTTACCAAAATGGAAAGGTAATCATTGAGCTGCTGCCCCCTAGTGGATCTCTGTGTAACTGTATGTGCTGTGTGCTCAGTACTAGTGAGGAGAATTAGTGAACAGGACAAACTCTAATGTGTGGTGACCTTTGACCTTTCCTCTTGTGCCATGCTTGTCAAGAAAAAACTGTACTCAAGAAATATCAACATTTAACATCAAACCTTTTATTTTTCACACAGGACAAACCTCTTTCCAGTTTTGGACAGTGCATGAGCAGTTCTGTAGGAAATCCAAATGTCAAGTTATCTCAAAAACATAACGAACACATTTTTCTTAATAACGACACAGACCCTTTTAGATTTAATGACCCCAACCTCTGTCCATAATGTTTTTTATTCATTCAATGAATCTAGAGCCACAGGACAGTTGGATGTTTAGTCGTATTTATGGGACATATGGAGGTTAAAATCTTCATTTAAATTTGAATGAGTTTGGTAAGAAACACAGTGAGAAACTGAATGAGGCACTTCAGCCCTGTTGGAAAACACTGCAGCTCCAGATGTAGTAACTATCTTGACCTCTTTTTGGCCACCCCGGGGAGAAGACCTTGGTCTGACACGCTTCAGGAACTGAGGTCCAGCCAGTGTTGTCAGTGTTTACTGTCAGATAATCCTTCCATTTATTAAAGAATTCGATTAACAGTATTTTTTTTTTTGTTATTGCAAAGGTGAAATGTGCTGTCATGGCTGGCCTTATCTTTCCTGTGCCTGGAGCCGGAGCGGTAAAAAAACGTGCAACCTCCTCATCACCCGTGCCTCATTAACTGGCCTGTTACACCCGTGTTACATAGACTCCGCCTGCCATTACCACCTACCACTACCACCCGTGATATGGCCTGCTGTAACCTATAAACAACAATAAACAGACACAATAAACGGCTCCTACACCGGACACTTGAGTTCTTGTTATATTGTGAGAGCAGCTTCTATAAGAAACTGTACATTGACTCCTCCACTGCCTCGACAGTAACTAAATGACCGCAGAAACAATTATTATAACAGTCACAGACCTACTGTCAGTCTCTTACATAATAATAAATCTCAACATATTGATGTTGTTGTTGATGTTTTAGTGGCCAAAAGTCTGCAACAGATTTGTAAATAATCAAATCACCAAAACCATCTGACAGGCGATTTTACATCACATTATTGCATTGCACAATTTCCAAGGCAGTGCTGGTGCTTCAGCAGGAGCATGGAGTCAACAGCCTGTTAAATGGCACTGGTGACACAGGGCCCCTCTCACAGACAGGACTGTAACATTAGGTGATGAAACAGATGTCCATGAGCTGATATTGTGCCTTAGCAGTGCAAAGTCCCACATAATTATGGAATTAATCAAATAACTAAAATCCAATTCACAAGCAGTGGACCAGGGGCTTTTGGGGACCCTAGAGGTCTGAAGACGGCCTGACCCAGTGACTCACAGTACATGATGGTGACTGTGTACAGAGTAAAACCAGCATGACTCCAGGTGACTGTGTGCCAACATGAAAAGAGGTTGTTCAGATTCAAGTCCTCATGAGGTGGTATAACCTGCTGTTGTCAGTCTGTGCTCATCAAACATTCCCTTATTAAAAAACTCAAAACTTCATCAATAGTAACCAAACTGATCAGCAGAAAATCAGTCAAACACAGAAGCAAAGGTAGAAGTTGAAATAAAGCTTGATCAACCAGCCAAATGTTTTTTTCCAGTCCATCTGAGCTCATTTCCAACCTTTCTATTCTCATGTATAACAGATTCAGAGGGGCTCATGGCCTCATTTCATTCTATCACACTTCATGCTGAGGGCAAATTCTTACACCCCAGAGAAATTACAAGACACCAGTGCTGTTTCCTTACTGCTCAGCTGCCAAAGACTCGTGTGTCTGATACTCAGGACCCACACAGGTTTAACGTGATGAGGATCTTCTGACCTCTGCTGTCTTCACAATTATTGAATAATCATGTGATTCAATAGTAGTTACAGGTCATAGTGGCCTATGTTTAAAACTATTTAAAACAGATTAGGCACTTTTCAGTTATCCCTAACGTTCACATATTTTTTTTACATTTATATTGTAAATTAGTATGTGTATTAGGGGCTCAGTTCCATTCATGTCAGTGGCTTCAGTTTTTATTTTTTCTGAGAGTTACTGGATTTTAGCAACTTAGGAGCAGTTCACTTCCCACAATTAAAAAAACACAGTGACACAGTCTGTATTTTACAGGCTAATTACAATATTTTGTCACTCTATAAAAGGATGCGACTTTAGGCAAGTAAACACGCAAATACAAGAAGGTTTGAGTGTTTACCAACCAGAATTTCATTCTTGGCAGAGTGGACAGGGCTACAAAACAGCATTTAGGGGAGACTGGGGGTGGTGGGACAGCTGCAACAAGTCTTATTCTTCCAATCAGAAACATGCTAGAGTGATGACGCTCAAACTGCACATACAGTATAGTTAGACCCTGCCCCACCAGGAACAGAGAAGACACATTCAACAGCTGCTGCTGCATTTATTAAATATTGTTTTGGAGGAATGAAATTAATTTTTAATTTAATTTTTTTTTTTTTTAATTTTGAGTTTCTTGAGTATTTTTGTCAAACTTTCCTGCCCTTTTTAAGAATTCATCAAAACTTACTTATCATTGTTTTGTTGATTTCTAAGTGACGTGTCAGTGTGTTTAGCACATGATGTTCTGTCATGGCTGAAAGGGTGGGAACAGTTGCAACGAGTTATTGTAACTCCTCAAGAGCCAAATCACAACAGACCACACAACAGTATTTTTTTTTTTTTTACATTTTTAGTTCAAAATAGGAAATATGCAGCTAATTTTGTCCCATAGCACAATGGATGCAACAGTAATTATTCAGTTGAATGCATAAGAGAATACAAAAGTAATTTTAGATATTATTTTCTTAACCTCTCATTGCCAGTTCTGTTTATAGATAAATATTTACAGATTATTTATAGATAGTTTATAGATAATAGTGCCTATTTTGACTCAAGATAGGTTATATTTTCTATGCAAAACAAAACTCAATAACTGTCCTAGATAAATTAATAATGCTATAATATTATTGTAAAACACTGCATATTTTCAGAATACTATGCTTATTGAGACAAAGTTAAATTTAATGCATTTTTTAATGTTGCAACTGTCTCTGATCTGTGTTGCAACTGCTCCCAGGGTTGAGGTGAGTTGCAACATCGGAATTCTTCCATTAAAATAAATATAGTGACATATGTAATCATCTTTAAATGGTATGGGTAAGTTCAAAAAGTCTCTGAGCAACTGAGAGAAATGCAAAAATTGTTGCAATTGTCTCGACTCCATCATACTTTGTGTTGCATGTTGGGTAAAAAACTTAAAGAAAATATAAAGACAAATCATTTTAATAAATAAAATATGAACATGATAAGAACTACTACAATTAAAAGACTTTCGGTGTCTGTGGGACTAGGGATGACCCTGTTTATGTTATATACTATACAGAGCTGGGACGTTTCTAGTCGTGTTTTTAATGATTCCCCACTCTTTCATCCGCCCCTGAACGCACCGGGGTCACGAGCGGCAGGGCAGCAGCCAAAATAAACGTCAACGCTGAACGTATCCAATCACGTTCGACTCGACGTATAGTACGTACTGACTGGTACGTGCCAGGTTGCATGGTACATGCTGTGTAGCCAGTGTTCTTCTGTGCTTTCGCTTATTTTCCAGCTGCCCATGTGAGTTACCTGGTGTTCAAAGAGCTTTCGGAGCGGAGGTGTGTGTCTCATCCTCAGTAAGCTCTGTGGCGGGCGTTAACCCGGCCTGAGTGTGTGATAAGCGGGACTCCTCGCGGAAGACTTGTGAGCCAACGGCTAGCTACTTTTAGCTATTTAAGCCAAGCTGGTTAATGTAACATTAGCTTTTAACCTTACCAACCACGGTTAGTAAGACAATTAGTTAAATAGTTAGGCCGTTGCTGTTCAGTTAGTTGACTGAGGAAACACTGTACTCCGAAACTAGTCCTACACCCGGGTCACCTACCAGCCAGGAGAGAGCCTGGTGCAACTGGTGACCGTCCTTGTCGGCGGGGTGTGTGTCTGCTGTACTAACTGACTCTGTGAGTGGACGGTGACTACATGAGGCAGAGGACTGACATGACTCCGCAGGTGTAGCTGGACTTTCAGTTGAGTTCATGGTCGTGTGTTCACTGGTAAGAATGAGTCGCCGCTCCGTGGTGGACCTGGTGTGGCTCGGGAGCAGAGCTGTCACCCTGTTGCATGGACGCTTACCTCGGCCCCTCCACACCTCCTCCCAACCGAGAGCCGGATTCAAACCGGAAAAGGTCGCAGTGGTTACAAAGACTACGAGATATGAGTTCGAGCAGCAGAGGTATCGCTATGCAGGGCTGTCAGAGGAGGACTTAAAACAGCTGGTAAGACTGCATTTCACCCTGAGCATGCCTGTCACCCCCCAGGCCAAACACACGCCTACATTTCACCATTTCACCTGCCGCTGGGTCTCTTCAGTGTTGCTGTGCCTGTGTTTTGCAGCTCGCCATGAAGGGCTCCAGCTACAGCGGCCTGCTGGAGAGACACAACATCCACACCAACAATGTGGAACATGTGGTGAAGTGCCTGCGGTAAGATGTGGACAGACAGACAAACATGTCCCTCAAAGGCAGAAAGGGGGGGGGGGGGGGGTGTTGTTTCAGAGCTGGGGCACAGTGTGTAAAAGTATGTTTAACAGTTCTGTGTTTGCAGGAGAGAAGGCATAGATGTACGAGTGGTCAAGAGAGGAGAGTATGATGAAGAGGTGGTGCGATGGGCAGATGCCATTATCTCTGCTGGAGGTGGGAACTTCACATGATTTGTGTTTGCTGTTTTTTTTTTCAGTTTAATGCCAGGGAAGTCAGAATTTGTTAAAGTAGGATTTTATGGTCTTTGCTGCTGCTTTTTGTTTGAATAAATGAACAATTGATAAAAGACTGTTGCTTGGACGCCATCTTTTGTGTCCAGTCATGATGTAGAGAATGGGCAGGACTCTGACTTATTCAGCTCGGGGGGGGGGCAAAGAGTCACAAAGGGGGCAAACAAAGGCTTCAGACAACAGATGCAAATACACAATACAAGTTCTCTAACTGCAGTTTGTTTTGTTAGGTGATGGGACAATGCTACTTGTTGCCAGTAAGGTTTTAAGCAAGGACAAACCAGTTATTGGAGTAAACACTGACCCTGAGAGGTAAAGCACTGAACTGAACACTGCTCGAGAACACTGGGTTGGATTGTTTCATGGTTATAGAACAAATGGATCACTTGTTGTGTTATAGCTGTTTGAAAAGTAATGAAGTGGGGAAGTTAGTCCATGAGCTTAATCCACACTAACAGCTGAGCTCACTCTGTTTTCACTTTCACCTGAAGGTCAGAAGGTCATCTGTGTCTACCTGTTCGCTACACTCGAGCCTTCCCAGAGGCACTGGAGAAACTCTGCCGTGGTGAGTTCAGGTGCGTATTTACCCACGAGTTATCTGAGCCACCTCTTTCCGCTGTGTGTGTGCTCTGTCACTTCATTTCCACCATCAGTGAAAACCTACAGGTGAGTTACTTCATAAGCACCTGCCAAAACAATGTATATAAGAGTAATATGAAGAGTCCTGTAGAAAAATCCTCACAGCTGTTCAAGACAAGTTTAACACCCATGTGTTCTGGAATAAATCCAGCTGTGTCCTCACCCTAAATCTAGCTCCTGTGTCCAGTGTAAATCACATAGCTGCTGCTAGATGTCACTGTACCTGAGGTTTACACTGAGGGTGTTTTCACTGACACGCAGGTCACAGAGCTTTGTAAAAAAGAAGACTTGATCTGGGTCAGAAGATGTCTTCATGTTTAGGTTAATATCTACTGAGATTTAGAAGTCCTTCATTTTTCCAGCTGTTATTTAAATTTACATGATTCACTGTCTCAGTGTTTCTGTCATTAAAGCAAAGAACAAATCTTTTTAAAAAACAAGGAATCATTGAATCTTCTGGTTGAACTAAATCGAATCTGAATTAGGGCTGAATGATGTGCAAAAAAAATCATTGTGATTTTTATTTTTTAGCAGATATTTTGATATGAGTTACTTTCACTGGAAAAAAAAAGATATAAGTGATGGTGATGAGATTTTTGTTGGGTCTGTACCAAACAAACATGTTCCCTCACACCAGCAGAATATGATTTTATAGGTTGGGAGCTTCTCTGTAGCACCACTATGCATTTATATTACATTTATAAAAATATGTTGTGACACTTTTTTCACCTAATAGAAAAAAATGCTTTTTTGATTTGAATATTGTGATTTTGATAACATCTCGATTTAATTGTTCAGCCTTGCTCCAAATGTCTGACTCCTCCAGCAGCTGAACTCAGTCTGTCGTTCTCTCTACAATGGAAATCAAACAAAGACAGTTGGTCCAACTCTGTTCAGGTTCAGTCCAGTTCATCCCAAACCAGCTCCACAGGGTTCAGGTCTGGAGACTGTGCTGCTCTACCTCACCTAGTTTGTAATTGTTAACCAGTTTGAACTGAGACGTCTCACTGTCATTAAATCACTGTTCACTGGGTCTGTTATAAAAATAATATCTATTCATTGTGTATGGAGGCAGCTGCACACAGTGCCTGCTGTGACTGCAATACATCAATTATATGTTGTGTGGACATCATTGATTGTCTGATACACTGAGGTCATGTCATTGATAACTGGTAATCCATCAGTCCTGTGAAGCAAAGAGGACGCTGAGTCTATAAATACCATTCACGGAGAGAAAACCAATCATCTCTACAGAGCCTTTAGCCTCTTTTAGCTCATAGTTTGACATCATACTCTGATCATCCAGCAGGCAGCTGTTAGAGGGTCACTGTCAGTCAGTATGTCTGGCCTCGTTCACAAGGACGCAGGCCTCTCATTCATTTAGTAAAACGGTGAAGCGTTATCTGGCAACAAAAAGTTGAAGCGGGCTCAATTTTTGCTGGAGTGCAACATGACATCCAGGAAGTGGCTGCGTTGGTCAGTCAGGTGCATGAAAAGGCACATTCCTGGTAGATCACTTTGTAATGTGTAAACAGTAGTTCTGCTGTTGACCTCGTGATCATCATGACAAAGATGTAAAATCCTGTCTGAGTATCAGAAACACTGTGTTTTCATATCAGAAGCTTTTAGATACTTAAAAGGTCCATATAGTCTAAAGGTAGATGTCCATGTGTTGTTTGATTATAAAGCAGGTCTAGGTTCTATATTAATACAAGACAATATGTTGTGGAGGTTCTCTGCCTCTGAGTGGCTGAAGAGCTTTGGGAGGATAAAACCAGACGGTGTCTCAGAGAGCATCTCAGAAAACATGGAAAAAGGATAAACCATAAATCTGTGTGTAAATTTGACATTTATATTCATATTATTTACATCCTTCTATATTCTCATTTACTCATTGATAAAGCCCACAGTCCTGATCCTGTGTTTTGTTTGTATGTCTCTAGCTTTTATTTTATGAACATCACATTAAGACAAAATTGATAAACCTTTCAGCTTGTTGTACAGCTGTGACCCGTTGAATATAATTTAAATTTAAACTAGTTAAGAGCTGACACTGGTTCAGTTTGTGTCTGGTCCCTCACCTGTCCCGTGCTGTGTTCAGGTGGCTTTGGCGTCAGAGGATCCGTCTGCATTTGGAGGGCACAGGGATCAATCCCACTCCGGTGGACCTGCACGAGCAGCAGCTGAGCCTGGAGCAGCACAGCCAGGCCCACCGCATCACCACCATGGACATCCAGCGGAGTACGACCCCCCCCCTCACCCCCACCCCCAACATGTGTACCTGTCCCCCTCCTCCTGTCTGTCCGTGTCTCCTGTCTGCTCTCCTGTGTTGTGTTTGAACCAGAAAGAATTTGTGGATCAGGAACTGATTAATTATAGATCAGGATGTTTGATCTGTGGCTCTGGAAGTTGTTTTGTTCTTCTACTAATTGAGTCAATTTCTCAGGGACCGGGACTCTACACGATAGCTTCTCCAAGACCAGTCTGCTCCCCATCAGGAGTCTGAACGAGATCTTCATTGGAGAGTCTCTGTCCTCCAGGTACCTCCGTCATCTAACCACTGCATTCAAACCTGTGTGTGTACCTGTGTCTGTGTGTATGTTAACCCCCAGCCCCCTCACCACCACCCTGTCCCTACCTCCAGCACTCATCAGGGGAATCTCTGTCCACCACAGGGTGAAGTTAAACTCCTTCAAACACCATGTTAACCTCTTGCTCCATAGGGCCTCATACTATGAGATCTCTGTGGACGACGGCCCTTGGGAAAAGCAGAAGAGTTCAGGACTCAGCATCTGTACAGGAACCGGATCCAAAGCCTGGTACACATGAGTATAATCTACTTTCAGCTTCACATGGAGTGGGGACATGACTCAGGGTCAACATCAGCACCAGAGAGAGAATATTTACTCACTTTAACAGCAGACTAAACATGACCTACAGACCCAAACCAACAGGCCTCACACTCATGTTGCTATTGTTAGTCTGACCAGTAGTGGGGCTGAAACCTTTATGCAGGGGGTGGAGCTAGAGGAAAGGTCACAGGGGCATTATAAAGGAGTTTACTTCCTCAGGGGCATATTGTCATAGGAGCCTGTTGATCTCAGTCTAACAGCTTCCTGTGGCTGTTTCTTCTTCTACTGTTCCTCCTGCAGTGTTAAAAACAGACCCACCGACAAATTTAAAGGAGTAGTTTGATATTTTGGGAATATGCTGATTTTACTGTCTTGCTGGTGTACAGTCTGAAGTCGAATGTATAGTATGAAGGTAAAACCAGGAGATGCTCAGCTTAGCTTAGCATAGCAACTGGAATCAGGGGACACATCTGGCTTGTAGCAACACCTCCTCAGATCACGTGTGAACACGTCTATCTCTGTTTTCAGTCTTTAAGCTGAACTCAAAAAATCTGTCTCCTCCTCCACCTTCATGCTCACCTGACAGACACGAGTGTTGTCACAGCTCCTTTTCAAAATATCAAACTGTTGCTTTAATCCAGTCTCTGTCCGGAGGCTTTTAAACAGGCCTGTAGAAACCAAAGGAGGAGGCATTCAGATATGTGCAGAGTAACACAGAGTTGTGTGTGTGTGTGTGTGTGTAGTGACAGAAGCAGTGTGGTTACTGGACATACAGACTATGTCCAGAGAGTGGAGAAGTGAGTCAGGCTTCAGGAGCGGACTCTGGATGTTTTGTCAGCATCAGTGGATCCATTAGTGTCATCTGTAAATTCTAATTTAAATAATTTAATTCATGTGTTTAACAATCCATTTTACACCCAGCACAAAGTGCAACAGCATGTCTTCAGTAGTTTCAGACCAACACAGTTTCTTTTTCCTGTCCAGTGCTCACATTGTTTAAATAGCAAATACACCTAAGCACCCATGGGTGTGTTTGTCTCAAAATGAGGTGTGGTCAGGTGCAGTGTTGGCACATTGCTATCATGAGGCAGCGGAAAGTGACTGACCAACAAAACCCAGTTCTGAAGTCAGTGGTGCATTATCAAGAGAGTAATCATAAGGCGGGTGCACAACGTGTAGATGGGTGAAGATGTTCTCCAGATGTTTGGATCAGTCAGGTGGAACATTAAAACACAGCCTCAGAAGGTGACATACTGTGTGTTGTATAACGTTGTCATGTGTCATGGCAGTCTGCTGGTCATAAATGAGGCTGTGCAGAGAAGCTTCTTTCTTACTACATGGTACCTGACTTATAAAGGGAAGATGAGTCGCACTCTGATTGGTTTATTGCATGTTACACCTCCATGATTAATAAGAGACTAATTACAGCTCTTCTGAACCATGCACATGGAGCAGTGACAGTCAGAGCTCGAGGAAAATTGTTCTCAGGTTGTCCGTCTGTCCGTCAAGGACAAATGGATTAGACTTGTGGTCAAAGGTGAAGGTCAATGTGACCTCACAAAACACTTTTTAACCATTACCCAAGACTTCACATAGCAATTATGACAAAATGTCACACAAGTGGTTCATATTTAATAAGCCCCTGGATAAACAGGGATGAAACCTGAAACTAGTCTGAGTGGAGGAGGCAGAAAACCACAAGCAGGTGATTCTTCTGTTAATATAGTAAAAGTGATATGGACACGCCCTTAATGAGCTTCAGACTCTAAAACAGAGCGTGTTATTACTGTTAAATTAGTTTCAATTTATTTTTTTATCATAAATTCTCCAGTTGAGTCATCAGTGGAACAAATGGAGCTGGTTCCTACATGAGAGCACTGATGTCTATGGGCTCACATACATTTCCAGTTGTCAGTCAATGGAAAACTAAAGGAGAGAATACCATGAAAGTCAAACATGTGATGAGACGACAGCGAAGCTCTGATCCAGAAACCATATTTTTAAATGAAGTCAGTGATGAGATGATGGTGTCAGTTCTTGTTCAGTCTGTATCAGTCCACATCTCAGCTCACTCATGACTTTCTGTCTCTGTGTCCACAGGTCGTACAACATCAACAAACTGTCTGAGCAGTCTGTGGAGGAGGTTTTAAAAATCGGTACGATTATGTGCAGAGTTTGTGTGTTTCCCTGACTGTGAGCTGACATCACTGACATCACTTCCTGTCTGTGTTTTTAGGGAAATCTCTGACAGGTCTTGAAATCCCACTTCATCCAGACTTTATTGAAAAGGGTGAGTTGATAATCATCCTGTGTTTATTGTTGACTTGTGTATTTTTAAGCTCTTGGTGTTGTGTGATGACATCACCTGTGTGTGTGTGTGTGTGTGTGTGTGTGTGTGTGTGTGTGTGTGTGTGTGTGTGTTCAGTTACTGATGGATACAACGAGTCTCTGGTGTTCGGGCCGGATGACCGACGCTTGTTCTACAGCATCAGGGAGCCCATCGTCAACAGAGTGTTCTCCAGCAGCCGCCAGAGAGGCTTCGCCAGCAAGTCAGTACCGCTCCTCAGTGACTGCTCCTCAGCCTCTTGACATGAGACCTCAGGGTTTCAGCTCCTCAACCTTCTCATGTCTCTGCTCCTCCAGGGTGTGTGTCCGCTCTCGCTGTTGGGATGCCTGCATGGTGGTCGACGGTGGGACATCGTTTGAGTTCAACGACGGCGCCATCGCTACGATCAGCATGAGCGAGGAGGACCAGCTCCGGACGGTGGTTCTGGAGGACTGAGACGAGTCTGGAGCACCTGACTGGTTTCTCTCTGCCAACAGAGTTCAAAGGGACAAGGTCAAAGGGAAGAACCAGGTTTTAGCTTCTAGCCTCTACAGGTGTTGAATATTTTTATACCTGATAAAGGTATCAACGTTATTATTGTTCTATTACGTGTGTGAATTTTTCCAGATCAGATACTCTCACAGGCTGTAGCCCCCCAGGTTATGAAGACTGTGATCCACTTTATAGACATGAACTGATCCAGATCAGCAGTCTGAGCTGAGAAGGGTCAGGGAGAAACTGAGCGACTGTTCAATGTGTCTCTCTGTCGCAGTGGACTCAGGTCAGAGCAGTGACTTCAGTCATTCATGATGATGATGATGATGATGATGATGATCAGACATAACAGGACAGAGGGTTGTGATTTACCTTCACACCTGTGTAACCTCTGATTATTGGCCTTTAAAGGATAAAACGGAAGTTATATTGTATTTAAATTTTTTAATTGTCAGCAAATCTCACTCAATCCTGACTTCTCTGCTCTGTCTGTGGCTCTCAGCCTCAAACCCACTGTTTCCTACTGAGGACGTAAGTCTTGAATATCTCAGTCATTTCCTCAAACAGCTGATCAGAGCCACAGGATTCATGATTTCACGTTGTCATTCTCGTGAACGTGGTGTCTCAGTAACGGCTTGAGGGATTTTCTTCAAATTTGGCACAAACATTCACTTGGATTCAGGGATGAACTGAGTAGATTTTAGTGGTCAAAGATCAAAGGTCACTGTGACCTCATAAAACACATTTTTGGCCACAAATCACAAATTCATCCACTAATTATGACAAAAATTTAACTCAAATGTCTTTGAGGATAAAATGAAGATATCCAAAAGGTGAAAGGTCAACTTTACTTTGACATCATAATGTTCTGCAAAGACACTTCTGGTCACAGTCTCTCCTTCCTGAGTTACGATGTTGAATAATGACCAGGTTTCCCATAATCTGACTGCAGGAGATGGACATTTGTTGGGGACTATTTTCAGCAGCGGATCAATCCACATTTGTTGCTGTAGTGAGTGTTTGTGGCAGCAGGATTGTGTGTGTGTGTGTGACTGAGTCAGAATAAACTACAGTGTATGTGTTCATGGTGTAAAGAAACATATGTAGCTCACATACATCCCGCTGTAGATACACAATAATCAGTTGTGATCAGGAAAGTCAGTGCTGATTTTGATGTATTGACAATAATAAATATAGGGAAGATCATCATCATCGTCATCATCGTCATCATCATCATCATCATCATAATCATCATCATCATAATCATCATCATTATCATTTTAAAACAGTCAAATTGGGAGAACACTTTATGAAAGTATTTAGAGTGTATCTCCAGCTGAAGCACAGAGGCTGTTCTGTTGTTTACTGATAAAGATATTTTTGGATCATAGGTTATATTTTTATAACTGGTTGAGACATGTGGGAGGGAAGAATGAAGTGCACTACAAACTGAATTTTACTCCATGTTTTAGGTCAAAACTCTGTAACTGACAGAATGAATTTTACTGAAACAGCCTCATGTGCCTGGAGGAGATGTGTCTGATCTCCACAGCACAGACAACATGATACAAACATGTTTTTACCCTGTGAAGACTCTCATCACTAAAGGCTTTAAGAAAGGACACGGAGGAGGAACACACAGGTGTGTTAATAAACTCCTGCCTCAGCAGTATCACATTGTTGGTGCAGCAAGGATGAGTTGACAAACTGATGATGAAGGTGTAATTTTCAGCGTGCCAAAGGCCTCGGGTCCTCGTGGACATGATGTGTCACTGTGTTTGGATGTTTCTGTTTTGATCAGATAAAGTGATGTGGAAAAGAAACGCCTGTGTTTTTATTTGAGCTCCTCGCCGCCTCTACAGTAGATTTGTTACGATGGTAACAGTTCTTTTAATGAAACTACATTCACTGACGCTGTATCATGGTGGAGACAGAAATATCACTCTTTAAAACCTGAGTCAGAAGGTTCTTGTAATTTGGGTGAACTGACCCTTTAATTTCCACTCTAGACACCAATTGAAAAATGAATAAATGGTAAATGAACCGCTGGTATGTAGAATCAATCACTAGTCAATCTCTGGCTCCATCCTGAGTAAAAACTCGAGAGACTGTTGTTATGACAACAGGCTTCAACAAAATCCTGGATTAAAGGTCTGAAGACTTTTGTAAATCAGATTTCAGTTTTTGATTAAGCAATATCACAGTAGAGGGAGTGGTGATGTACTGAATATCAGCACGGCTGTGATTCGGTCGTGCGCCCCTTTATCTAAGAACTACCAGAACCAACTTGTATAATTTTTAATAACTTGGCAAAATTTTCTATAAACACATTTACACTTTGTCATCGTCAATTATTGAGACACCGGTGAGCAAAAAGTTAGTTCCAACCAAATAATTTGATTGGACGAGAGGCATTCCATGTATCACACCACTTCACAGGTGTTCTATTAACCGTAAATCAATGTTACGTTGATGGTCATTATCTGTCCTAAATTGTAACAAACTTTGCAAAGATGAATATATTCCAGGAATAATATTTGAATGAGTTTTTCTCGGTTACTTTGATGCAGTTCTCACATCAGAAACATAATTCTCCCCTCTCTTAATGCAGTTCTCAGAACAGTTCATTTCTCCACACTAATTATTACCTCACTGTGTTTGTTCAAGCTTCCACTGTATCCACGCGTTCCACTACTAAAGGGTTTTCTCATTGTGTTGATGCATTTCTCATCTGACTCTGGCAACTGATGAAAACCAGTTTGTACCTTTATCACATAGAATGACGGACCTCTCACTCACTTTGATACTGTTCCTCATTGCATCAGTTTTCAGTCAAATCACTTTAAAACTCCCTCTAATATGAATGAAAGAGCCGAGACAGTCTCACACATACATAGTAACGCAGAGTGAATTTACTGCACTATAACTGATGCTATGTTCTAAGTTTACATATTTTTCTGTCTATTTTCCGGTGCATAGCTTTCATGTTTATCATTTAGCTTTCCTCAGTTACAGCAGTTATATTCTGCTGATTTACAGATAGTTTTTTTTACCATCTGCTTTTCACACATTTTCTAAACTAGCTCTCATTTTTTCAAAACTCTGAACACAAATCCCAAAAATGACACATGAAAAATGCAAAGTGCCACATATCTGCAAGCCAGTGTGCACTGTGCAAGTCAGGAAAATTTTTATGTGTTGCTTAGCAACAGTCCAGTACCAGTCCAGATGCGGAACCATTTGTGTTGGTGTAGACAAATGATGAAATAAACAGATGATAATCTGTTGTTGCTTATGGGTTCGTACTGATGACCGAATCACAGCCGTGCTGGTGTTCAGTGTATCACTCCCTCTTGTGTGATACTGCTTAAATATACAGCACAATACTGTGAGGGAGTCTGAATACTTTATGAAGATACTGTATTAAGTATCAACACTGACCTGAGCCATCTCTATTACAACTGAGACTGATGAAGACCATAAAATGTGATAGAAAGCTCTCTGGTAAAAGCTCCAAGGTCAAGAATTCAATGGCATATTCAATCACCGAGAGCTGTTCCTGGTCTCTCTGTTGGAGTTTTCTTCCTGTTTAATGGAGAGCTTTTCCTCCCCACTGTCACCAGGAGCTGCTCTTCGTGGGAACTGAGGTCCTGCAGTACCCTGGAAGGTGCCTTGAGATAATGTTTGTTATGATTTAGCAATATATAGATAAAATTTAATTGAGCCTAAAAACCAAATTAAACCCACGAAAACCAGTTTGTGTAATTCAGTGGTTTTACTTGAAGGAAATGAACAGTTTACAAGGTAAAACATTAAAGTTCAGTCGGAATGAAATGATAATCTTGAGCATCAACCACACTGATCATTGTGAACCCTGATCATTATGAAAGCAGCTGAGCAGCTGCTGTATAGCTGAGGGTCAGGTTAATGATCAGTGGGGAACACTGACACAGTTCAGCTCCTGATCATTTACAACAATATAAACCAGCTCCTGTTGAACACTGTGGTTCATTAAAACATCATTTCACATAAAAACCTACTGATTAAAATCAGCTGTTTCTCATTATCTCAGCTGATCATCATATTAAAACATCAGGAATCAGCTGTCCCACATATTTACACACATTCTGTTCACACACTCCAACATGAACTGGAGCAACATTCAAATGACTTGACTCTAAAAAATAAAGAACACTTCTCTATGAGCATGTTCAGTACTTAAAGACCTGGTCCAGGACTTGGCTTCAGTACCGTCAATGCCAACATCTCTAAAAGCTTCTTCAGTAGCAGCAGGAAACTGAAACATGGCTCCATCACTGCACCTCAGGCTGGACTCCTCTGTGTGCTGGGACGCTGCCGCAACAGAGACGGACTCAGCTCAGAGGGAGGTGTGGCGGTTACAGCCTGAACCTCAGGCGACACTTCCTGTTCCACATTGTGCGGTCGTTGAGGAAACCGACGAGCCTGCTGGAGGGCGTGGGCCGGGCCACGCCGGAGAAAGGTCTGGAGTTGATGCTGACACGAGGCATCTCCTTCTTCAGGGAGGGCAGGTGGCCGTCTTGTACGAGGCCGAAGACGTCCAGGAGACACAGCGTGGGCAATGTCTTCCCCAGGTCCCTGCAGGTGAGACACAGGTTAGAACCGGACTCTGAGTCAGTGACTCACAGTAATAGAGGCAGGGGAACTTACGTGAGAGCAGCCAGGTGAATGTGATAGCAGCGGCTCAGGGACAGGTGCAGCAGATTCTTGAGTTGTGCGAAGACGGGGAAGCTGTCGGCCATCAGCTGAGTGCTGTCACTGAAACACACAGTAACCACGGTAATGTAAGACAGACATGGAGACACACTGAGGTATGTTTTCACGTTGAAGTCCAAGCTTTGATGTCAAGTGTTTTATGTAAGTGCCTTTGTCAAACCCCGTCACATTCAATTGACAGGGTTTATTTGATAACTAGTCTAGCGTGCTAGCGAGTTCATGTTAGCTGTTAATGTTGACTGTTAATGTTGACTGTTAATGTTGACTTAAGGCTTGAATAAAACAAGTCGACTGTCAACGTTTACAGAACTTTTGGTTCATCATTCACATTACATTGCTTTATGCATCATTTCTCACATATTAGAAATCACAAATAAAGCTGTGAAGAAATGTATCAGTTGTGAATTTGATGTAAGCATAACATTCAATTGCAAAAAAACCATTGAAATCTTCCCGTGGGTAAAGTTCTGCTGTAAAACATGTCTCTCTTATGCCAGATGGTGGGCATCTTGAAATTTCAAATGGCCAGTGGAATTTTTCAAATGAATGGTCCCCAGACGAAAAATGAACCAATTTGGTGCCCATATCCACATTTGAAACATTATTACAGTTATCTGCTGCACTATTAGCATGGTGTACTGAATTTAAGTCCAATGTTAAATGTACTTTAAGCTGTATGTAACATTCACACAGTACACAAAGTGTGCGTCAGGTGTGTCCACCTGTATCTCTCTCTGGACTCAGCTGTAATGAACTCATCAAACTGCTCACGAAGAATGAAACTTACCTTAAATCTAGAGTTTGAATGTGAGGACACCTCTCCACCAGCACCTTCACATCTGGAAAAAGAGACACAGACACACTGTCATGTCACATCTGCACTGTCATGTGTCTGCAGCTGCTGCATCAGGACACACTGAACGTGTGTGAGCCACACTGAGGGTGTGCTGCTCTCACAGCTGTTTTCTTTACACTAGTGATGCAGATCAGTTATATCTGCAGAGCAGGCCGAGTCATAAAAATGAACATGCGGACGGTTTGTGGGAGAAATAATATATAATGCATGAGGGAAATATTAATGACAGTCTCTAAAATGTGAACATGTTAAAGCCTCATTTTCGTCAGGCAGGAATAAGACTGTGTGTTTGGAAGCTGAACTCATTATTATTATTATTAGTTGTGTTCAGGAAGTAGCAGAGACACTTGAAATGCTCAGGCTGGTGTGGACAAACCTGTTGATATTTTCATTTTTACCAAAAATGGACAAGTTTAATTTAAAACCAGCCTGCTTCAGTGTAACATGTTACCATGTCAACATGTGTAATATCCCACTGAGAAATGATGGTGATGTGAGATCAGCTCTCTAAATCGTTGAAATGAATTCATTCAGATGGATTGTTTGTTTGTTGCGGACATGAGGCTTTGGAGCGTGTGCATCATTATGATCCTAAGTCCTGAACAGTATCTAAATATTATCACTGAGCAGAGGGTAAACAAGAACACCAGACCACACAGCCCTCGCTGCAGCTACACATGAAATATGAAGCAGCAGCAGCAGATGAAGTCTGCAGCCTTCAGACCTGAGGCCTAATGCCACATGCTGCATTCATTTCCAGGTCATGAAGCTCAGCTCAGTCTCACATTCAGCCTCACTATGATGACAATGTTGTCATGAACTTCTATTTAAATTAAGGGGACAACAAGTACAAGTACTGACCAGATGAAGGTCTGTGTTCTCATTAAGTCCATGTAAGGAGCTATACGAGTTACAACAGGCCAGAGCCATCTGTAAAATGCCCCGTCACTCTGTTCTGCTGTGGTGAGTTTCTGTCCTGTAGCGCCCCCCCGTGGGCCAAAATCCACCACAACCATCATCAAGTGCTCTGCATTTACATTTGTTTGTTTTTTGGAGCCTCAGTCTCATCATCATCATCATCTTCTTCACCTGCATGGTCTCCTCTTTACTCATCAGACTGACAGAGCTCATCTGAGTCTTTACTGTTGAACTGTTGAAACAACTCACAGCTGCAGTGTGTCTCAGTCACACACTTCTTTAAATACTGATGTAAACGTACTCAAATTAAAGCTGAGACATGGCTCTTTAATGTAGTTTCTATTATTGTATTTCTGATTGAATGTGTTGAAGTTGAAGCTGAGTCTGAATAAACATTAAGACGCGCGACAGTCCAAACACCGGTGGTTTGGAGCTGCAGTGAGCCAACAGGCTGATCTATGGACCCCGATGAACTGATGTGAACGTCACTCACCGTCTAGCATCAGGCTCTCCCTGTAGCCGCTGAGGTTGAGGTGAGTAACACCTGAGCTCAGGTTACTGATGACACTCTTCACATGATCACTGTTGAATTCACACCATGATATGTTCAGCTGCTCTATGCTGCACAGAAGAAGAAGAAGAAACGCACAGTATTAATGAATGACCTGCTGTTATGTGGAAAACAGATTCTGACAGGTGAAGTACCGAGCAGCCGACCTGGAGCAGGATCTGAGCATGTCAGCCAGAGCAGCAGCAGAGAAGCCGGAGCAGCCGCTCAGGTTGAGCTGCACCAGGTTCACGTTCTTGGACAGAGAGCTGAGAGAGAGAGAGAGAGAGAGAGAGAGAGAGAGAGAGAGAGAGAGAGAGAGAGAGAGAGACGAGAGAGGAGAGAGAGAGAAGAGACAGAGAAGAGAGAGGAGAGAGAGAGAGAGAGAAGAGAGAAGAGAGATGGTCAAACATACAGAAATATTAGGGAGGAATTCTTCCCAAAAATTGAGATTAAAAAAAGCCCCAGATACTAAAGTTTAACAGACAGGGAGAAATGACCCGTCATTCCATGGGAAAAGAAAGAATGTGCAGTGTTGGCTGCTAAATGTGTCACTTCCTGTCACAACAGAAGACAGCTATATATAGAAACCAAATGTATTTACCACCACTGTCTCCTTGTTCTGTATCTATACATCTGCTTTTACTTATGTGTATGTATATGTTTGTGTATGCGTATATTTGCATATGTATATATGTACATAATTTTATGTATTTTTTCCTTTTCTTTATTTCATTATCAATTATTCTATTAATAATTCTATTGATATTGTAACTGACATTTTTGTTTTTGATAATTGAATTCCATTGATTAAACCCTGACTCTTATTCTTCAACTATAACACCCAGCTGACTGAACCTAAACCTGGTCCTGACCTTACAGTTTAATAGTTATTACATTTACCAGTTACATTATGGAGACTTAGTTTGTTATGAAATGGATGTTGAGTCTCAACAATGTGACACACACACAAAATAACAATTATTGTGACTAAAATGAAGATAATAAAGCTGCACACACTGTCTTTAAATGACATCTCTGAATCTACAGACCGAATAAGCTGCCCGAGGTTCTGCGTACTACACAACATGAAATACTAATTTACTGATCACATTTTAATAGCGTTCTGCAGATTTACAAACGCTTGCTATAATTATGAAGAACACATCAATGGGAGTGACTCAGGCTCTGATGAGGCTGAGCTCGTTTGGTGGAGGCAATGAACGAGCAGAGCGGCACAGCTGAACACTTACTTGATGATGGTGTCTGAGAGCCGCAGACCCTCCAGGCTCAGATGCTCCAGCAACCTGCACTGACAGATGATGCTCTCCAGAGCCGAGGTGGGGATGATGGAGCTGGACAGATCCATCTGGACCATCTGCAGTGAGCTGAAGGTGACAAAAAAAGAATCAAGACATCAGTGACCTCTTTCAGAAGAGGGTTGGGAAATGGTTCATTTGCAAAGAATGAAGCCTCCATTAACTCCGATTTCCCAATTCATCAGTGGCACCTACAAAGTTTGCACAGCTGTGTTGGTCACTCTCTCAGAACGTTGTGACCTCCCTCCTCTGTATGTGGCTCTCAGCTCATTGGTTCATACTGAAGATGTACATCTTTACAACCAGCTGGTAAATGTGTAGTTACCTTCAGTGGTGGATTAATCCACATTTGGTGCTGTGGTGAGTATTTGTGTCCGCAGGATGGTGTGTGTGTGTGTGTCTGTGTGTGTGTGGACTGAGTCAAAATAAACTCCAGTGTGTGTTCATGATGTTGACAACAGCAAAAATACAGACCGTCATTCTTTGAACAAGAAATCTGACCCCGCAGAACTGAACCCAGACCTGTACAGACCAGAATACAGTCTGGACCAGAATGACAAATCTGCTGGACTCACCCCGAGACTGTGAAGTGCAGCTCCTCCACGAAGGAGCGAGGGCAGCGCAGCCTGCGGACCCCAGTTTTCAGAACCTGCTGCAGAGCCGCACCCATGTGGGTCAACCCCTCCAGATCCACGCTGTGCCACAGAGACTCGTCAAACCTGGGACGGAGACACAGGCAGGGTATGGTCACACAGTCAAGGTCGGAGAACTACTACAGTGTGCTGACAGTATCAGGAAGGACTGGAGAAACTGTGCCCTGTCTGAGGAGTCATGGTTAGGACAGATTTGACTGGTCTTATATATCGCAGTCTTTTCTGTGTAGGGTTATGCTTAGTGGTTATTTATCTGGGATCATGAATTCAATTTATTGGATTCTTAGGACCCAAATTAAATTGCAGTGTGTCACAAGAGCCATGTTATCCATTAGGATACCATCAATGAACAACTAAAATACACCTATTTGTAGAATCTTGTCTATATTTTGGAGCAAATATGAAGAATATTTCACTCCTGAGTCATGCTCTGAAAACCCCACTGATCAGAGACTCACGCTAAGCGGTGCCAGCGCTTGCAGACTGTGGACATCCTGAGCAGGTCCTGCAGAGGGAGGTAGAAGAGGATCTTGAGAAGCAGCTCGTCCGGTAAGTGGTCCCATGAAATACCTGCAAAGGAACAAAGTAAAAGTAATACGACTGTTAATCACAGCTACAGACAAAACACCACAGCTGCTGAGAGGAGGTCAGTGAGGTTTCCTGCCTGACGTGGAGTCCTTCTTCCTCCTGGACCTCCTGGCCAGGACAAAATGGTTGCAGTCGTTCTCCTTCCCTTTGCTGATGAGCCGCTGGTGCTTGTGTCGGGGCGACCACTGCTGGATGAGCTCTGTGGGGGTGCACTCTGTGTCCAGGCCCTCACTCAGGCAGCCTCTGGACTTGCGTTTGTTGGTCCTGTTGCAATGAGACAACATGGAGCCCTGGAGGCTGAGGCAGGGCAGATCCTGCAGGGGCATGCTGGGAGGAGAACGAACTGATCAAAAACTCTTCTTCTAAATGTTAATTATGTAACACTTCGACCTGTTATAGGAACAGCTCAGACAGAGACTGGTTAGAAAGCCATCCTCCCCCAGACAACAACCTCTCTGCCCGCCATATTGATGCAGCTAGCAGAGGATTGACCGCGCAAACTCTGACTACTTAAGACAATGAAAACGTTCTGTCACCTGTATTTGTGGTAATATATGAGTACACAGTTACACTGACTTTTATTCTCTTATTCTGTGACTAGTTTACACTTTAAAACAGCGGGAAATGAGCTCAGATGGACGGAGGCCTGGTCCTGCTCAAAGCGCGGTATCGATTATTAATAACTTCAGTTTTGAGCTATAGCTGTTAAAATGGAGATTTACAGATACACAACTTACGACACAGACTCACAACTCACCCAACATCTACTCTGACCCATCAGTGGTGGTTCTTTAATAGTAACACAACTGAGATAACTAACTAGTCTGGTGAGCGCTGCTTCATTTTCACATGGATCTCACGCTGAAACTGAACGTTACTGCTGCTGAGCCTATTCTCCATGAGCACCGTATAAACCACCAGAGACCGTACCTGTCTGTGGGCCTCTCCTCTGGGTCAGCGCTCGCGGTTCGGTCGGTACAATCCGTGGACAACATGAAGGAACTGCCCGGTTCTCCTCAGCCCTCCAACTTGGACGCTTTAAACTCACCGCCAGATACAGGGCGCCCTGTGTCCACACGTCACAGACGCATCTGTACGTCGTACGTCTTACGTCACGAGTCTCGCTGAGTGGCGCATGTGGTATTCCGGTCTTGCTCGTTTTTTCCGCCTTTTTTAGAGGCGCCTTTATTTTCAACAATTAAATTTGATTATTTGCATAGAAAAACAGCTTGATGTTTAAGAGACACAACTACGTGATTTTGCAGTGAAATACAGCAGTGTTGGCAGATTATGGGGCAGGAAATGAATAACATATTATCTGTCACTACAAAGAGTGACCCACTATGCATGTTACTTGGGATATCGAATGCCCCTATTACTGATAAATATAAAGGGAAACTCGTTCATTCTTTTGAAGTGGATAACATGAGGTTCCTTTCAAAACATTGGCATAAGGTCATCAAGCTTTTTCATAGGACTATTTGACATGCATGTTACATAGCAAAGACAGTGTATTTCACAGTAGATTGGAGCCTTTTATGTCATATATTGGTTTAGATGTCTCTGCTATTTTTACAAGAGGGGTTATGTTGTATAGAACACATAGCTACTATACAGACATATGGTCACAAGCAATCTGTTCTGTTTTTATTCATTGACACTGAAAACTGCATCAGGATGATGTTGTTGATAACTCTGCTTATCATGGTGGTATCGTTGTGTTTCCCTCTGTGTCAGAGTTGGACCCCCACCCCAAATCTGGAAACGCCAGAGAACTTGACCAGAGTATTCCATATGGGCTGCAGCTCTGCCTTCATCACAATACCACCAGATGATCACTTCACCACCCTCCAGACAGGCCATATATGGTGTTGTGGACAAGCCAAATGAGTTCAACCTGTTCTACAACAGGTTTGACACAGACTCACCTGTTCTCTCTCCCACTGCTTCAGCTGCAGCTTCTCCTACGGCATCTCCTCCACAACCTGAAACTGCAGCTGCAGCTCCCTCCACACTGGGGTCAAGTCTCCTGCCCTTTACAGCAGAGGAGGTGAGGGCGGAGCTCAAGAGACTACGTCCTGGAAAGGCAACAGGCCCGGATGGTTTGTGTCCGAGGCTGTTAAAGGACTGTGAAGCCCAGCTGGCTGAGCCTCTCCAGAGGCTCTTTAACTTAAACCTTCAAACAGGGAGCCCATGTTTGAAGTCTTATAAATAAAGAAAAAATCCTTTCATTTTAAATTTTAAACCGAACTGTCCTTTTGTTGATTCAGTTTTATTGTTATGGCAATTTCCATACCTTTTTAACATATATGTTACAATCTTTTTATTCTACAGGTTCTGCAGTCAGTCAGTCAGTAGGTTGTTTCAGAGTCATCTGATTCTGTGAATGTGGAACAATACAACAATGTGTTTACATAAAAAATGTACTTTTGAATACTTCAGTGTTCAGTTTTAAAATCAACTACTCCAGTACTTAAACTAAGTTGCACTGGACAAATCAAAACTCATGGTGACTACAGTTGGACATGGATGTGGTGTAGTGCTTATAGAAGAGGAGGGCTGCGTGTAGTGTGCAGTCTGTTAGCTCTGGTATTATGCGATAGAAGTGAAGCTTGGTTAAACTTGGCCTGCAGTCGAACTTCAGCCCTTCATGACTGTGAGTTTATCATGCAGTGGTGATGGTGTTATCAGCCAGGTCCATCTGAGATCTCAGGCTTTCAAACGCTGCATTACAGTTTCATCTGAGGAGGTTTCTATATCCCTCTGAGACTGGTTGACACTCTCTACCTCAGAGCCAGGCGTTAGTGAAGCTAAGCAGGAACAACAACGTTTCGTGTCACATATGGAAACACTGAGTTTAGTGGAACGTGTATGGCTGAGCCTAATAATGATAGCCTCTCTAATACTGCAGTCATCCTACAATGACAACACCCAGTCCTTACTCCATTATCTGGTACCTGCTCAACGGCTCTGTGTCTCCCATCAGCAGTGAATAACCCACAGACACATGAGCAATAATGAACAGCCTGTTTGAAGACTCAGGTGTGAAGCAGTCAGGACTAGGACTTTGGTTATCTATAGGTAAGTGTTGAAACCTGACATCTGCTCAGTCCCAGGATTTAGCCCCCCAACCTATTAGGACACACCTGAACTGATAAGAGGCCTGGATCAGGCTTTGTCATTCTCTCCGTTTGTTTGCCCTAGCCCTAGCAACAGTCGCACGGATACACCCCCCCCCCCCCCCCCAAAATGTATATAAGGAGAGGTTTTTCCTTTGTCTGTGGGTGATTTTCTAATATAGGATGTCTGCTTGACTTGTGTAATCTGAAGCACCCGTGGGGGCTGCCATACTGTGCTAGACTGAACTGTTGCCAGGACAGATCAGAGTTTTGTTTGTATACACGCCATGTTGCAAATAAACTTGCATTCAGTGAAACTCTCAGAATCTCAGTGTGATAAATGAGTCCTCGTCTACGGTTGATTCTAATTCACCTATTTAGAAGGTTTCTGTTGAACCTCAAACAGTCAGATTGGGGACCCGATTTAGTTTTAGTTGTAAGAGGTGCAGCTTTAAAGACTGAAGTTTGCTGAGGTCCAAGAAGAACCACCACAATCTAAAGTTCAGAAGGCTTCACAGTAGCAGAGGAAGGTCCAGCATCGATGAATTAAGTTGATGAATTGAATTAAAATGAGAGATATTTAACCTGGAGAGGCGGCGGAGGGCAACTCAGCAGGGACGTCACAGAGCATGTAACAGTATGTGCAACACTTACCAACATCACAGCGTCAGGTCTTTACTGCACCGCGCTGTCATCTAGAATACTGTAGCTATGGTAACAAGTACCACCTCCCCCCTCCATGAGTCCTCTGGAGACTGAAGCAGAGGTCTTATAGTGAGGAACTACTGCAGCCAAGTATTCAGCTCTACTCCATCTCCTCCCCTGATGAAAAGACTAGGCTTTGGCAAAATGAAACGTTTCCATTCAATTCAAATCATTTTCATGTCTCTTTTTCTAAATGAATAGTTGAACTGACAAATACTCTGTTTCATAATTTGACAGGGAATGTGTATATTCCCTGTCAAATTTGTCTCTGAATCTTGAAAGTACCTGGTTTATAGGATAAACCATGTGTATAATTTTAAATGAAAGGGCTCTAATTTTGTATATTATTTCCTATTATAATCCCAAACTGTGTCTGTGTGTTAGTATATCCTATACAGTTATCAGATTATTCCTCTTTAAATAGTTCATTACATAGTTTGACAGTCTTATTACGTTTTTTAGTAAGAGTCTAAATATATTCTCTAAATTGCCTTAAACATCCAATAAAATTGGGGGGGATTTTTGTTAATCTGCATTTATGTATAAATTGAATGTCATGTTGATTATGTATAATATGATATTTTTAGATTGGATATTGAGTGTGTGTGTGTGTGTGTGTGTGTGTGTGTGTGTGTGTGTGTGTGTGTGTGTTAGTTAGTCATGACCGCTCTGAGCCCGTCGTTACGACAGACAGTGTAACAGTTTTCTGTGACAGACCGGAAGTGTTCCTGTGCTGCTGTTGACGGAACACGGAGACGGAGGCTGGAGACTCGCAGAGGAGGAGCTGAACCCCGGATCGTCCGCAGTCAAACAGGTTTGTTCTGGTTCTGTTTCCTCTGAGCTTATCAAAAATAACTGATTTATGTCTGATGGGGATTAAACCACGGGGATGAATCATCTTCCTCCAGCCGATCAGACGGCATCAGATGCGCTCGCGACTTGATCTTGTCATCAGGTGTGAGTCGGTGTTTAAATGATTGTACGTCGCATTTAAACCTGGGTGGTCCAACTCTGAGGACACAGGGTGAGGACACTGTCCTCTGTGCTGGTGGTGCAGGGACACAGGGCTTCTCCTGAGGAGAGGACAGGATGAGCCGGCCTGTCGTCTGTAGCACAGCCATCTTTACTCTGTCATGTCATCCCTCACACAGCTCTCAGCAGCGGCATCGCGGCTCTCACGGTTCTGTGGGATCTGAGGTCTGAGTGTGAGGCCTGGTGTTGCAGGGCTGATGCACCGGGAGGGTTTTCTGTCTCTGGCTCGGTACGGCACGATTTAGCCGCGCCATAGCGACCACAGGCCTCCACTGCGGCTTCCACCGCTCTCTCTCTCTCTCTCTCTCTCTCTCTCTTTCTCTCTCTCTGTCTCTCTGTCTCTGTGTGTGTGTATGCTGGTTCATCTGTGTTTGATTTCACCATCATTATAACAGCAGTTGAAACAAAGAACACAGTTGTTATTGAGTGTTTTTATATCACGGAAATCAGGAAACCGGTCCACACCCTCCCTGTTTACTGTATTATTTTTCCATTCAGACTGTAGTGCCATCAGCCACAGCCCTGTCAGCAGTTTTCCTTGGTAAAGGTGATTCTAAAGAAAAATGTTGACCTGACATCTGAGTCATCCAGATTTATGTATGATGGTCTTTAATTTTTATATAATACGTGTATAATATATGTATATTTATTATTGACTGTAAGGTAGCATGAATTCATTAATTTTATTATTCATTATTCATGTGTTTGTCAGGAATAATAAAGGTAGTATACTTATATAATGAGCTCAACAACCAGTAGTTTAAGGTTCTTCAGTTTTTTTCAGTACAGAGCCACTTACTGAGGATACACAACCAATCACAGCTGTACATAATATTAATGCCCGTTATCAGTTATGTAAGGACATGAAGCATTTACTCACAACCTCAGTGCTCTACAGGGATTTGTAGCATAGTGGTTAAAAGTTGGTAACTTTTATTAAAGGACACCTGTTATGTTCATTTATATTTTTTACTCTGAGCTTTACATGATTCACAGTCCAATTAAAGTCCTTATTTATCTCCAACTGCCTGTTATACAGCCCCTCAGTTAAACAGGAAATTAGCTCAGATCTCATTAACAGACCTCCTTAAAAGCCTGCTTTCTTCTGATTGGCCAAACATCTGAAAGCCTGGTGGGGGGCAGCCCCATCCTCTCGCTGGTGTGGAGATTCTGAAAGTAAACTGTAAAACTCAGTAACTAATAATTAAAACGAAGTAACAAAACATAATTGATTGAATTGATAGATTGATTAAGCGCCTCTGTTCTGTAAATATTATTACGCTCATTACCTGCTTATTGTGGATTTAGTCTTTCAGTCGCAATCCATGTATTACATTTTCCTACATATTTCCCTGTTAATAGTTGTACATGAGGGAAATGTACTAAAATGCGACTGAAGTGGAAAATGTCTTCTGTCAGGAAACTCCGAAGCTAACGTTGCTGGTAAAATGTTATTCTGCTGTCATCTACCATACAACTACAATAAACCTGCACAGTTGTTTTTTTGTATACAAAGGGAACTTGTGTACGCACCAAAAAAAGAACAGTGCCATCATGACATGATGACACGCTAAAACCATGGACTGTAAATAAAGATGGACATAGCCTCTGTGACGCCGCCCACAGAGGAGGGGTGTGTGTGGAGCAGAGATTTCAGTGCATGCTTGTTTGTGGAAAGCATATGCTCAACCACCTGTCACTCAAAGAGGCCACGCCCTCAATTACACATAACCTTAAACCTTGATAAAATTGAAAAGAATGAGTTATATAAAAATTCACCCCCGTACAGTTGTCATGAAGGAGGAAATTAGATCTAGAGACCAAAATTGTTTTTTGTACCAGGCTGTAAACATGTTTAATTCTGCTGTAAAGTTGGACATTTTAACATGGGAGTCTATGGGATTGACTCACTGTTGGAGTCAGACTCTAGTGGTCATTAGAGGAACTGCAGTGTTGGCTTCATATTTCAGCCCTGGAGGTTGATGCTTGGCTAAAACTAACCAGGCCTGTGCTCTAACCAGCTTTGTTTGAGGGTGTGCCAAACTAGCTAGTAACTGGCTTTATGCAAATGTGTTACATGGTGACGTAGATAAGTTATGGAGGTGAGTGTGAGTCCTGTATCATCAGATGATGATACACCTAACTGTAGCTCATCCACAGGGCTAAGGCTAAGTCACCAGTTAGCTTAGCTGCAGTGGGAGATGACTGAAAGCTTTTCATTCTACAGGATCTTGGTGATCATTGGATTGATGTTGTAGATGAGCTTTGACCTGATCATTTCAATGTGGCCCTGCTGCTAAAGTCCTGTTTGTTGCACTAATAAGTAGAATTTGTGGCTAAGTAGCTATGTTTGATGGCTAACATTTAGCTAAGACGGTGGTGTTAGCTAAGTTGATAGTTTACTGCTAATATTTTAATTACAAGAGCAATGTCCAACCTTCAGTGAGAATATTTAACTAACTGCCAAACACATTCAGTGAAAATCACTGTGCATGGTGTGTTCACATGTACAGATACAGCTTTTTTAGCTAGGTACTGTTTGAGTCTGTCAAGCTCAATGGGGACATAGGGCTGCAAGTCAGGTCTCACAATGAATTCACATGAACAGCACCATCACTGTCTCAGCTGTTTGAATCTGTATGTGTTAGATGCTAGCTGGGTGCAGCAGCTTGAAATGCAGGACTGGAGCATCAGTATGATAATAACGACGACTGCATGATGACTTCATTTATTTTCTGAGAACAGGAACGAGAAACTTGACGTTTCCTTACAAATATCAAGTAGGTGCTTCTGCAACAACATCAATGCCCACAAACTACAGTGTGACCACACCACCATCTCCCATCTCTCTCTGTGTTGTTGGCAAATCACTATCAGATACAGGAGGAGAGAAGATGTTGAACATGGCTTTCATTTTTAAAAGATGATTTATGGTTTTCAAGGTTTTAGATTTGATTCAATAAAAATCTGTTAAAGACAACCTGATTCCTTCAGGTTAACTTTCTATAGCTGCACCCACAACTTCCGTCGTCTGTTGTAATGTGTGCCTCATTCACCTAGGAGCTATTGTAGATATAAGTTAGGGGGGACACATTGAAGTATGTAACTGCTGTGCAAGAAGTGGTTGTAACCGGTGATAGTGATGATAACAGCGGTACCACAGTCATGTGATGTTTACCGTCATCTGTGAAGGTTGATCTAATGGAGTGTAGTGTTGTGCAGGATCAAAACTTTATGGATAGTATGAAGATCCATCAGTGTTGTGTGTTTTTGTTATGTAGTGTTTTTGGTATTTCTTTCTAATGAGGTCAAAACTTTAATTGGACTGAAGAAATTTGCAGTGATAGTGGTTTATTATGTTGAGTGGTTGTTTTTTTCCATGGGTATAAACTTGATGAGAAGGTTGATCCAGTTATTTATGTTCAATGTTCAGTAGTTTTCTTGGCGTTGGAGGGATGAGCAAACATTTCCTATACAGTATAAAAGGTGCGAACAATAGACTGTAAATAAAGATGAACGTAGTCTCTGTGACGTCACCCAGAGTTGTCTTATGAGCGGTTTTGAAACTCAGAGTGAGCTACTCCTCCGTTGCTATCTTGGCAGTGCCTGACTCTGCCGAACTCGTGGCTAATTCAACAATGGCCAAAGAGGAAGGGCCGAGATTTTGGCGCATGCCGGTTTGTGGCAAGCACACGCGCACCCACTTGTCACTCAAAGAGGCGATGCCTTCTATTATGTATAACTTTAAGCCTTAATAAAATGTAAACAGGTGAGTTATATAAACAGGTGTCATGAAGGAGGAAATTGGATCTAGAGACCAAAACTGTTTTTGTACCAGGCTGTAAACATGTTTATTTCTGCTGTAAAGTTGGACATTTTAACATGGGAGTCTATGGGGACTGACTCACTGTTGGAGCCAGACTCTAGTGGTCGTTAGAGGAACTGCAGGTTTTGGTTCTTCAGTGTTGGCTTCATTTTCCAGCCTCAGAGGTTGATGCTGGGTATGAACATGTAATTGGGGGGGGGGGGGGCAAAGGGGGTTTTGCCGCCATTGGAGGTCGTCACAGAGCTGGATCAACGTCCATGTAAAAGGGAGAGCAGGTACTATGGGACTGACACTGATGCTATTGTGTTACATGTCACACCTTTGACTCCTGAACACTGACATGCTGTTTAAAATCCCACACTCGAGCAGTATCATGACGACTTTATTAGGTTCAGTGAAAACAAGCAAAGGCAGTGTAATAATGGGTCTTACTAACTTCAATACAGCAGGTCTCGTATAAAAGAGGCTCATGACAGGTGAACAGGTGTGGGGCCCAAACAGTGAGTAGGTAGTTATCAGTTGTGTAGAGGAGAGTTGCAGGCACCTGAGAACTTTCTTTTGTCTAGTTCCCCAGTGAAAAGTGAGGCTTGTAGAACAGTAAAATGTTGACATCATGTAGATTGTTGCTGGCATCAGACTCCGTCTGTGCTCAAATACTGTAAGGCTGCAACTACTCGGATCCACGATTCAGATTTGGATCCAGTGAAAAAGTGAAAAAAGAGAGAGGAGAAGTAGAGGTAAACTGTAGGTGCAATGGAATACAATTTTATTTAACCTGAAACAGTTCAAAAACATTAAATCAATTACAAGCTAGTACAGGCTCCACCACATGCTCCATTACAGTCGCCTTGGGTGTCGCTGTTAAACAGTTCTTCTTCTTCTGATGTTTTTTTTTTTTTGAGGGTTGGCGAACTGCTTGTTGGTGCATTATCGCTACCTTCTGGTGAGTGTCGTTAAATCTCTCAAGAGTTAATGACACTTATGTTCACGTTTGCACCAACTACAGCAGTGAAGGTCATGAAATCAGCTTTTTGTGTATATTTGTTGGTGAGTACTTCATGTACACTTACGGTTGGACATTGTGGGGTCTGAAAAGTCCCTGTTTTGTTTTGATGAGTTACTCTGACAGACAGACTGAGATGTTCCAGGTTCATCAGTGTTATCTCTCTGATCTGTAACTGTCATATTAAACTAACATGATAAAAGCCTCATCATGATTTGTGATGTACTGAGTGTACTGTTGTTCAGGTTTTCGCAGTGTACTGGTTCTCTGCCAGCCAGAACACTTGAATACATGTAAACACAGTCAGTGTTAGACCAGAAAGTGAACGATGATGAGGAGCAGTTGGATCTTGTACTTGACGTTTTGTTGTATCTGTTCTCCAGACACCAGACTGACTTAATTGATGTTGTTTCTCTGCCTTTCAGTCAGGATATGTCTGTCAGGATGGAGATGGATATCAGTGGAGTGTCCCGGACACACGTCTCCATCCTCCCTGCAGCTGAGATCAAGGCCACACTGAAACCAGAAGCAGAGAGACCTCGCTGTGCCAGCACCCCGTGTTCCCCCATCAGAGGGACTGTTGCAGGATACCAGATCCTGCACATGGACTCTAACTATCTGGTGGGCTTCACCACCGGTGAGGAGCTGCTCAAACTGGCCCACAAGTGGTCAGAAGGTGCCCCAGAAAAGAGCTCTGTATCAGAGTCCGTGTCCAGCCCTATCCAGAGTCCTGTCCCCAAGTCTGTGGACTTGGGCATCCACCGGTCTTCACGAATCTTCAAAGGCAAAAATCGCTACTACCAACCCTACGACATCCCTGCTGCCAACGGGCGGAGGCGGAGGCGTATGCCCAGCTCCAGCGACACCTTCCTCAGGTCCCTGGCCCATGGAGAGCCTGGGCCCGGGAGGGGTCTGCATGCTCCACTACCCCTATGTCTGCTTAAAGGAAAGGGGGCCCAGTCCAAGTCTCTGGACTACCTTAACCTGGACAAAATAAGCATCAAAGAGTCATCGGACACTGAGGTGTTACAGTACCAGCTGCAGCACCTCACCCTGCGGGGGGAGCGCGTGTTTACCAGGAACAAGACATGAGCACAGTGGAAGGCCTGTCTAGGCGTCGGTCACCCTCTGGGGTTTAGGTGCTATTTCCAGCCTGGTCTCTTTCTACTCAGATTATAAAGGGTTCCTTAAGAAGACAGTCTGATAATCCTGTTTATTATTAACTGGGGGTTCTACCTTGTACTGTACACATAACGTGGTGAAGAAAATCCTTAAATTAGTCCTCACATCGTAATGAGGTGTTGAGGTTAAAAAAAAATGTGAATTACAGTGCATTCAGAAAGTATTCAGACCCCTTCACTTGTCTTACATCTTGTTATGTTGCAGCCTCATGATAAAATTGTTTAAATTAGATCAATTTAAAGTGCAAAATATCTAAAATTCCGTTTTCTCTTTGTCATTTTGGGTAAAAATTTTAAATGATTTTAGCATAAAGCTGCAACATAACAAAAAATGAAACAAGTGAAGGGGTCTGAAGACTTTCTGAGTGCACTGTATATAAACTTAGCAATAACTAGTGAACCTATTTATTGACAGTGTTGTGTGTTTGTACTGGTCAGAGACGCACTAATATATCAGCTGACAGCTGAGAGAAGCACATATCACATACTGTATCAGCTTTAAATGCACCGTTGCTACCAGGCCAATTATAGATTTACTGCTTATCTGTGAGGAGTTGTGTTCATGGACGTTTTGCATACAACTGTCAAATCAGCAAGATGATACTTTTAGTACGTTGCTAATTTATTTATTGCTGTCAATGTGTTTTTAAACTTCTTATTTACCATGAGGTGGACATGTGGAAAAAACTAATTGATGCTCCACTCAGTCTGTTTACTGAGAGGCAGGTAAAGGTGAGCTGATTAAAGGTCCCATATTTTACACTTTCCCTGTGTTTTATTTGACATGTTAATCCACTTGAAATGATCTGACTGTTTTCTGAGGGATTGAATAAAAATATAGCAGATTATAGGTTAACACTCAGAGAAACCAAATCCTGCAAGGTTGGATGGTGGATCCAGGTGGGTGGGGCTTGGGGCATGGCTTAGAGCAGTGACTGCTTTGTTATGACATCACAAAGTTACAGGAAGTCCTGACGGCTGGTTTTAAGGCTCAGTCTCTGAATACAAGCTGTGTGCATTTCTCTGTGGACTGAGGCTTTGACACTTTCACAGTATTAATATAGAACCTAGACCTGATCTATAATCAAACAACACATGGACAGAGACTTTTATACTATATGGACCTTTAAAGGATCTTAATACAACACTCAGAGTTATTGGTCGCTGGGTATTGAACTGTGATACTTTTATGGACCGACTGAATTGGTTTGACTGTATCTAGGATCAAAAATAGTCTTGTCCTTTGATAAGAGTAAATGAGTAATCTCATCAGTGTAAGTGAGCCACTCAGTATGCAGCATGCCTTGACCAAGATCTAATAATGCTGGTGATTGGCTGAGGCTCAAAATAAAACTATAACAGGAACTATAAAAAATTTATACTATAATGTGCGTTGTAATTTTCTTTTTGTCAAAATGGATTTGATCAAATTGGTATTGAAAAAGTATCATTAAGAATCTGTAACAGTACTGATATTGAACATTTTGGAATGATAACCAGTCCTACTGTGATCATTCCCTCTGTCCATACTGTTAGAGAAGTGTCAGAGAAAGGAGAGGGACGACACACAGCAGAGGTCCCTCAGCCAGACTCAAACCAGGAACTTTTCAGTTTCATGCTCAGCTTCTTAGACCTCTAGTCTCGGTGATCCACCATCATGATCCCCTCCTGATGTGACCATACTGCAGTCTACGAGGGAGAGGATCCACTCTCTAGTTTGTCTAACTCAGACTGCTGACGCTTCATTTAGCTCCAGCTCAACTTCAGAATGTATTTTTACACAGGAAAGGACGTGGACGTTTCCCTCCATGTCTTACAGATACTCACACAGAAGGGGATCAGGGAGATGAATGATTATAGCAATTCATGTTGGTGACAGCAGTGACCTTTGACCTGATTGGAGATCAGAGATCAGAAAACACCTGTATCCCTGCAATATTGTCCTCCAGATGTGGAGAGATACAGACAGATGAGTGGAGCATCACCTCAGTCTTTTTTACGTCTGTTCAGTGGCTATTGTGGGCAGGTATGGTTGGGAATATATTGGCTTTAGAAAAGCATATTGGTGCATCTCTAGTTTTGTACATTGGTTATGGGTGCACAACAACAGTATGTACAGGTGTGTCTTTTTAATGAGTGTGTGTGTTCCCCTTACAGCTGGTAACGGACGTGTTTCCAATGCCTCTCCTGCAGAAACAGAGTTTTCTGCACCTGATTGCACTGTTGGACGTCTACTACAGACTCTCTCTGGAAACAGCAGTGCACCTTGACATTTTCACCACCACGGCACCAGTTAGGTGTTCACAGTAAACGCTGCAATATTGTATATAAGCAAGCCATGTGAACACTTACAGTTCTGCAGAAACATCCGTACACCCCCTGAGTTTTCGCACAGTTTGTTTTGTTGCTTTGAGAGGAAATTGTGATTTCTTTATCTCAGAACTTCAGTGTTTTGACACTAAAACATTAGACATTTCCATTAACTTTATTAACATGTAACATCTGGACCTCTGTGTAAAATTTTATGTGATGATGGCATCTTTCAAATTGTTTTGTTGTAGAAAAAGAGTCAAACTGGTGCGGTGTGTGTTACTTTGAGGCAATTCAATCTCAGATCCTGCAAGTCACCAGTCAGATAAATTCAAATCCTGCTCTTAGAGGCTTTAAATATTTAGTATAAATATGTTTGTAGATGTTTTTGAAAATGGTCCAGAATACAGTGGCCACATGTTCTTCATCTTTGAATCAATGTGAAGAGCGTGGATGTGGGATTTAGTTGTTCCGAATACTTGAATAACATGAGACGTCCACATGAGGTGAATGTTCTGATGATCAAAATAAGGATTTTGTCCACAGTGTTAGATCAGCAGGTGGAGCATGATGGACACTGCATCTCCATCCACCTGTTTTTATGCTCATTTTAAATTTGCTCGCAGAAAAGTTTGAATCCTGGAAATTAGAAGAAAAAAATATATATATATCACAAAGGAACTTTTTCCACTCAGCTCAGGTGGAAGTTTCTGTATTGATAAAAGCAAAATGCAATAAATCAGTGATGATGTGCATAGAGCATGTGGCTTAATGGCTATTTGCCAAGTTTTGCTATTGCTACATGGCTAACTTTAGCATTAACAGCTGTTTACTTACCAGTCTTGCCAAGAGCTTCAGCCAATGTGGCTTTTACAATACAAGAAGTCATAATACTGGACGCAGTGAATCAGTATCAGAAAGTGATGAGACGGTCTGACTGGGCTTGAGCTAGCTGGTTAGCATGCTAACTTCTGTAGAAGAAAAGATGTGATAGAGACAAGATTATTATTTATTTATTCATTGGTGTTTGTTTCCACCTCTGGAAACAGCTGTTGGTGAGTAAAGGAATCAAGTTTGTTGCTGAACTGCTAATGCTAATGTTAGCTATGTAGCAATAGCAATACCTTTAAATGTGCACTCAAGTCAAAAGTCAGATTTCCATCATGTTTTCCACCTGCAGCTCTTTTAATGACCTCATCTTCTTCTGCAGTGCTTTAATGGCGCCAACTGTTCATTTTCATGAAACAAATATACATGAAGGGACAATAACATAAATTAAATTTTGATGGTTTTCTGGACATTCAATTAAATTTAGTTTGCACCACATCTGGATGGAACATGTGTCTTCAGTGGAGCTGAGGTTCTTATCTTAAAATTCACTGAAATTCACAGAGATCTTTTCTCAGAAAATAAAGGCAGAATCATGATCTGTGTCTGAGCAGCATCGTGAAGTTTAGTCAGTTACAGTGTTGTTCACCGTCACTGGCTGCAGACTGACTGAAAAACGTATTGGGTTGACATGTTTTTTCTTTTACTTTATTGTGCTCACTTTATTTATTCTGTTTGTTTTAGTTAATTTTTTAGTCAATAAATAAATGAATTAAAGTAACGACAATTCTCTGTTTGTTTAACCTCATGCTGGACACAGCTTTGCTTCACTGCTCTGTTACTGATGTTATAAATCAGCCTAGACTTCAGAGTGTTAATGATGATGATCATGTTAAAAACATCTATTGTTACTGTGTGTTGGAGAAAATATCTCACTAGCACACACAACGTCCCACACACATAAACCTACATGTAAACAGGTTATTGTTGGGGTGAAGATGGTTAGCATTTAGCAAATTATAGCTCTATGTTAGACACTATTCACATTAAAAATTATTTAAATGTTAAACAGTTGCTAATGTGGATAAAATCAATAGTGGTCTAAAATGGCCATAACTGCCAAGAAAAGCATAGAGTGATCTGAAAACATGACATCATTTTATTTTGAGACACTTTGATTTAAAGCTCAGGGGGTATACAAACTGTTTCACCATAAACTGTATGTAAAGTCACTCTTATGCACTTCTATTGATTCCTGAAGCCAAACTGAAAATGTACGCTTGATGTTAACCAATGACTGTTAGATCATTAAAGGTTATTTCAAACAGAAAATCAGAAGGAAGCTGAGACTTTATATTTCTGTCTGATGAGAGACTGCAGGTCTGCAGCCCTCAGTTAAAACCTTTGAGCTGAGTTTTGAATACACTATTGTGCAGAATAGAAAACAGGTTTGTACATTAAAACATCAAATTGGCAACGTAGCATCCATGATTTCACCCACAGGTTTGAAACTCAGAGAGAGCTGCACCACCTTTGCCATCTTGGCAGTGCCTGACTCCACCTAACTTTTTGGCTAATCCAAAATTGGGCAAAGAGGAGGGGCGTGTGTGGAGCTGAGACTTCAGTCAACGCCACTTTAATAACTAGGGCAAGGATACGCTACCATTAGCATTGTTGGCACAGCTGAACGTCTGAGCATCTTGTTCGAAGGCAAACCCCAAGCTAATTCATTAGCTGGCCAATCAGCTAGTTAACTGGCTAAGCTAACAAGCCAGGTATGGTGAGCGCAGACACTGATACCTGCTATCATATAAATAAAATAATAGTAGAATTTCACTCACCTCTATAAACAGGAACACAGACTTCCTCATGTTCTGTGACTGAATCAGTTGAGGTGACGCTGAGCAGACAGCTAGCGACTAGACACTGAGCAGCTAGTCAACTGTGACGGGATCCACCTGTCACAAGTGGCAACGCCCCCAATTATGCAGAACAGGTGAGTTATATAAACAGTTTTAATGAAGGAGGAAATTAGCTCTAGAGACCAAAATGTTTTTGTACCAGGCTGTAAACATGTTTATTTCTGCTGTAAAGTTGGACATTTTAACATGGGAGTCTATGGGGATTGACTCACTGTTGGAGCCAGACTCCAGTCTCGGAGGTTGCTGCCTGATTCCATGCACCAATCAGAATGTCAATATTTGAGTCCAGTGTGATGTCACTTATAGTGTTTGATTATGTTACTTGGCCACTGTCAATCAAATCTGATCAAACCACACACACACAGCCCAGATTAAGCAGATTATCTATTTTTGGCATAGTTTAATTTTAACATTTTTTTTCCCCTGATGATTGAATGTTATAGACAAATGTTAAGATTTTGAACCAAATTTTCAGAGGCTTTAAATCATTAATCGTTAATTAAACTTGTGTGGGTTTCTCTGATTAATTAAGTAATATCATCCAAGAGGGAGTGATGATGATGATGTTGTACTGAATAGCAGCACGGCTGTGATTCAGTCGTAGGTACGAGCCCGCTACGCCATCACAAACAGTTCTGCAACTGGACTGGTACTGGACTGTTGCTAAGCAACACATAAACATTTCCCTGATCTGATGATGTCATATGAGCACACCTGGAGGGGTGTGCTGAAGTATCCAGTCTTCTTCCCTTCATCCTCTTCTGACGACCATACACAATTTAATTCAAATGTTATTTCTGGAATATATTCATCTTTGTTTATTATAATCTAAGATAGATAACGACTGTTAATGTAACACTGATTAATGGTTAATAGAATACCTGTGAAGCGGAGTGATACATGTAGTTAAAAGTCCCAGTGCTGTATATCAGCACTCATGGAATGTCTCTCATCCAATCAAATTACTTGGTCAGAATTAACTGTTGTATAATCTGAGTTCACCTGTCCTCACTGTTACAGCAGACTGTAGCAACACTCACAGGATGTGACAAATACAGCTTATATCCTAAAGTGTTGCTGAAGCTTCACATATCAGACAGGTAGGTTTTTAAGTTTTAATTTAAAACAAGAACAAAAGAAAAAACAAAAAGTAGATAAAAGTGTCTGCATGCTACATGAATGAATGTCAGTGTAAGTTTAAAGGTTCATGTTTTCCTCCTTGTTACATGGACTGCACTTACAGAGCTTTTCTCGTCTTATCTACTGCACAAAGAGATTTACAATGGAAGCCACATTCACCCATTCACACATTCATTCATACAGCAGTTTTCCCTGTACATTTAGAGCTTTCTAAGATACACATACATCTGGGGCAATCTGGATCCAGTATTTTTCCTAAGGACACTTCAGACTACAGACCGGAGGAGCTGAGAGTCAAACCCCTGACCTGGGACATCTAGCTTTACCTCCTGAGCCACAGTGGCCCCCTATGGTCTTTGTGCATGTATCTGTCCATGTGTAAACCTGCATGTAAATGACAGGTCAGTCCTGGACAGAGGACAGTGCTGGGGCTCTATCACCACTGAGACCCAGAATAAGCAGCAGAGCCCCCTCCACCAATCCACCGGTCTAAAAGGACCAACCAATCCTCCAACCTAAATAACCATATAGGTCGTTTTTTTCAACTCTCTGATACGACCAGAGGAGTGTTTCCTGAAGTAGCAGCCCTGACGGCAGGCGTACCAGACCTCTGTTGTCATGGTTGCCATTATAAACATGTGACTGTACTGAAAGCGGACTACAGATCGTCGCTGGGGTTACTATAATAACGGTCATGACTTGGTGAGGTTTAGACACTAAAACCACTTGGTTAAAGATTGTGATTTGGGTTAAAATACTACCTCAACATTAGACAATCTTGTCATGGTTACAACAATAACTATATGGTTAACTTTGTAATAGAAACAACATAAACAGCTGGTTTCATCCATCCACCACAGCCTCCTCCTGACGAGGACTTTGTCACCACACATTTCCCTTTGCTCCTGTCATAATTACTACCACCACTAGATGTCGCCTAGCAACAAAACATAACTATGGGTCATAATAACCTGCTGCACAGACGACCTATGGGCTGTTTTTTTGCAGAAGGACAGTCTCTAAAGGACACACAGACAACACATTGGGGGATACATTTAATGCCCAAAAATCCCTCAGCAGGATTTCACCAGCAAGTCAAAACTTAACACGGTAAACTGCTGTCATTGCATGTCATAGTGTTTTGGAAACCTTAAATGAAGCTGAACTACTTTAGAATTACTAGTTTGTGAGGGATGCAAAAACATCTCCTACCAACTGAAACAACCCAATCAATGTGGAAATTCAGTGGTGTTTGGCAACGCTGCGCCAGTTGGCAACAGAGAAAAGCCGATCTATCCACCAAACAATAAATACGCTCTGACCCGACATCATAGGACAATTCATACGAATTCTTTCAACAACTACAGAGAAATGAAGCAGCTTCATGGTCGGTCAACCTGCTGTGATTGACCGGTGCCACAGATGGAAGCATGTAAAAACTATTGCACCACCACAGGATGAGGAGATATTTGTAAACATGAAAACAAAATCACACCATCAACACACAGGTTGTATTGATGCTGCCTGTACAGCTGTAGACGTTGTTGTACAGTGTCCAGGATCTACACAGGAATCATGGATCTCCATGGAGAGTGACTTCATCAGCTGTTTGTAAAGGATCATATTCAGCCAGGACCACAGCTGCATTACAACAGGTACAGCTACAACAGGCTGTGGCTAATAGGCGGTTTAGTTAGGTCGTCTAGGACAGGTTCGGTTTTTTTTTATCCATTGAGAGAATTGAATGTAAGTTTTTATAGTAAAATCAAATTCTCCTGGGTCGACACAAACCTGATCATACAGATGCATTTTGGAGCAATGCACTACTTTTGTTCATGCATTTTCACCGCTACAGATGGTCTTTCATCAACCAATCGCTGTGGTTCCTGCAAGCGAACTCGTCCATGAGAATTGACGTCGGCCATAGCAATGGAGTCTCTGTTTTAAATCAACCTCGACAAAATGTGACTTTTAACTTCATATTTTTATTGAGTGTTATTTTGCTCATAAATGCCTCTGAGGTATTTTTGTGTTTATTTGCTCTGTTCACAGTTCCAGGAAACAAAGAGTCATTATAGTGAAGAATTCATT